ATGTGGAGAGTAGTTAGGGTTGCCACCTTTCTTGGAAAAAAAAATACAGGCCTTACTTATTTGCATAACTAATTATGTATGCGTGAAATCACTTGATTTAAATCACAAGAAGTGACATAAGAGAACATTCTGTAAAATCTATAAAAAACTACTTACAGTTTGATCCTGTGGTGTAGATGGATTGCTCCCAGTGTTTCCCTGTATTCCAGTTCTCCTTGAGTTCCCTTGTCTCCCAGTGTCCCCATGTTGCCCAGTGTCCCCATGTTGCCCAGTGTCCCAATGTCTCCCACTGTCCCCATGTCACTAGGCATCACTGTGAGACATGAGGACACTGAGACACTTGGGGACACTGAGACTATGTATCACAGTGTCACTATGTATCACAGTGTCTCAGTGCCCCATGTCTCTGTGTCCCCTGGGTCGCCCAGTGTTCCCCTGTTGCTCAGTGTCCCCTAGTGTCTGTGTCCCCATTTCTCCCAGTGTCTCAATGTCTCTAAGGGACACTGAGAGACATGGGGACACTAAGACACTTAAGGGCACTGGGAGATATGGGGACACAGACACTGGGAGACATGGGGACACTGGGAGACATGGGGACACTGGGAGACATGGGGACACTGAGACACTGGGAGAAACTGGAAGACATGGGCACACAGACACTAGGGACACTGGAAGACATGGGAATACTGAGACACTAGGGACAATGAGACACTGGTAGACATGGGGACACTGAGACACCAGGGACACTGGCTGTGTCCGTAGTGTCTCAGTGTCCCCATATCTCCCAGTGTCTCAGTGTCCCCATGTCTTAGTTTCCCCATGTGTGTCTGTTTCCCCATGTCTCAGTGTCCCCATGTGTGTCTGTGTCCCCAAGTGTCTGTGTCCCCATGTCTCCCAGTGTCCCCTAGTTTCTCGGTGTCCCCAAGTGTCCTCATGTGTGTCTGTGTCCTCAAGTGTCTGTGTCCCCATGTCTCCCAGTGTCCCCTAGTTTCTTGGTGTCCCCAAGTGTCCTCATGTGTGTCTGTGTCCTCAAGTGTCTGTGTCCCCATGTCTCCCAGTGTTCCCAGGTCTCAGTGTCCCCTAGTGTCTCAGTGTCCCCATGTCTCAGTGTCCTCATGTGTATCTGTGTCCCAGTGTTCCCAAGTGTCTCAGCGTCCCCAGAGGTCTCCCTGTGTCCCCATGTCTTACAGTGTCTCCTAGTGTCTCAGTGTCCCCTTGTCTCCCTGCAGCCTTTACCCCATCCCTCACTTCCCTGAGCTGTAGGCTGTCTCTGCAGGCTCTGAGCTGCTGTCTGGACTCTCTGTGCTGTGTAGCTGCTCCCCCACGGATCAGTGAGTAGCAGGCCCGGACTGGCCATTGGGAATACTGGGCAATGGCCATGGGCCAAGGCCGATAGGGTAGATCAGTGTATCTCCCCTGCCGGCCCATACAGAGCCAGCGGTATCAGAGCGCCGGCCCTGCAGTGTGCCTTCATGGGCCGATGGGGAAACAAACTATCTCCCCACCAGCCCACAGGCACTTATAGTCCATATTGATATATTTTGGTGCAGCCTTGCACTACTGTTGTTGTTGTTTCCTAATTGTATGCTAGAGGGTTAGAGGGTTACCCTCTGCTAGGCCGCTGCCTACTTATTTTTTATTACATAGTCCATATTGATATATTTTGGCACAGCCTTGCACTACTGTTGTTGTTGTTTCCTACTTGTATGCTAGAGGGTTACCCTCTGCTAGGCCGCTGCCTACTTATTTTTTATTATTATTAGCATGACCTCTTATAACTTTTACTAAAATGCAGCCACAGGTGGGGGCAGGAGGGATAGAGGACCCGGGGGAACTCTTTCTTGCAGCTCCGCCAGGTTTCCTCTCGCAAGATTGGAGCGTTGCCGCGGCTACTATGGCTCCTCACCGGACCACTAGGGATTTCCCATTGGACCACCAGGGCTGTAAACAAGGTCCTCCCTCCAAGACAAAGGTAAGAAGGGATGGGAGACATAAATATAATAATAATAATAATAATAATAATAAAAATAATTATAAAAAATACACATACATATTTTTTATTTTTACCCCACAGCACCCCAAACATTACACTACACCTCAAACACCACACTACACCCCTCACATGCACACACTGCACCCCAAACACCACACTGCACCCCTCACATGCACACACTGCACCACAAACACCACACTGCACCCCTCACACACTACACCCCAAACATCACACTACAACCCTCACACACACACACTACACCACAAACACCATAGAGCACCCCAAACAAACAGAGCACGCCAAACACACACATACACACACATGGCCCCACACAGCACCCCTTAAACACACACACAGCACCCCAAACAGCACACCTCACACAAACTGCACCCCAAACACACACTGTACCACACACACACACACTGCACCACAAACACACAATGCACCCCAAACACACACTGCACCCCTCACATACACACACACAGTGCACCCATCACACATACACTGCACCCCACAAACACACACTGCACGCCCCACACACTCTGCACCCCACACACATTATGCATCCTTCACACACACAGGGCACCCCCACACACGCACTCCTCACACACAAACACACATACATACACACGCACTCCTCACACACACACACACACACACACACTGCACCCTTCACACACACCCTGTATCCTTCACACACAGTGCACACCCTGCATCCCTCACACACAGTGCTCCCTTCACACACACAGTGCACCCGTTACACACATTACATTCTAGACACACACACTACATACCTTATACACACACACACACTACATCCCTTATACACACACCCCAGATCCCGTACATAACTATGGAACCTCTACACATATACACACTAGAATCTCCCTATACACACTCTGAATCCTCTACCTACACACACACTAAATCTGGTACACACACTCTGGGTTCTCCACACACACTAGATCCCCTATGCACACAATAAATCACCTATAGGCACACAATGCACCACTTACACACACTACATTAATGACATACACACTCTGGATTCCCTATGAACACACTAAATACCCTGTAAGCAAACACACACTACTTTCCCTAAACACACAAACTTTGCAACCCCTACACACACTACATAATCGATACACACATACACTACAGCCCCTATGCACACACTCGCTACATCACCTATACTCACACTCTCTAAAGCCCCTAGCCATACATATTACACCACAAAAACAACACAACACGACTGAAACCGACATTTACACAAAACACCACACCACAATTAACTAACTCTACACACACTCAATCTCATAAGCAGGCTCTATACACATGTACAATACACTTTACTTACACTTTTGTCCTTTGCAAACACAGCGCAAGCATTTTAATAAATTTGCTCGCGCTGCATAGAACAAATACAGGGCCTTTTTTTCTTGCAAGAGCTCTTCAGCAGGGCTCTGCGCGTTGAACCAACATGCTCACTTTGAGAGGAGGTGTGCTTGTCATTGGTGTCATTGGTGAACTTATATTGATTGAATCCATGTTAATGGTTTGAGCGTCCAGTTAGTTTTGTAACACTGATCAGGTTGAGCATTACCAGTATTGGTATTTGACTTGACTTTAGTGACTTGCTGACTCTGTACTTTTCCCAGCATTATGTAAGCTAGTTGTAACGTTTGTGCAGCTTGGCCATTAATGCATAAACTCCCGTGAGAAAATTTTACACAGGAAAACAGTTAGTAAATATCCCTTATAGTATAAGATGGGAGATTCCATATACTTTCCTGTACTAGGTCATCCTTTACCACTAGCTAATTAAAAAAAGATTCAAATATTTTCGCTAATTTACAGAGAACCATTATAAGGAGGCTGTTAACCTGCAGATGGAAAATGAGACTTCATAGATTAAAACTGGTATATTTTTCCTACAACATTTCCCTACCTGAAATATGAAGAGAACTCATTATTCTTCCCGTTATTTCGTAACTGTGTGCTCCTGTACTGCCAATCACTACTGTTAAATAAGATGTGCATTATACTGAATTTACATAAACATAGAGAACTATGGGGTATATTTTATTTCTCTAAAGAGGCCAACACAAAGAACGATTACAGGAACACCTAGCAAATCATAATATTTACTAACCAACTACTTAAAAAAAAACAGCGTATTGACGTCACGCTCAGCCACCTTCGTGTTCAATGAATTCACACTGTACATACTTAGTTCTTTTATTTTTACTGATGGTGTTCAGGAATACTTTTGTTAAATAGCTGGTATTAACACGTACTACTGGACGGCTGGGAAAGCCTCATTCATTAAGTGCCTTATTGCCCCCGAGGTCCTGGGCCCAGATATGACCTGTATATATTTGTGGAAACTGTATTCCCAGTGGAGTTGCATCTATTATTGTAGTTCAGAGGAGGGGGATAGGGAATGTGTTTTGATGCGGCCCTCGTTCCCTTTTCTCATGCATTCTAAAAGAAAATTCCCACACTTTTCACAAGGAGCAAACAGGAAATCACTTTAACCTCTTGGGTGCCATGTGGGATGCCTGGGAATGAATCGGTTAATGAGGCGAGCCCATGTCATTTTGCTTCATTAGAGTTCCCAGACAACTCACTGCTGTATGAAATGGGTCTTACTCTCCCTCTATTTCTCTCTGTTTGTATCCCTCCTCCTGCTATGTCTCCCCCCCTTCCTTAATGATTCCCACATGGTTCTTGGTATCCCAGCCAAGCCTTCTAGCATTGTCTGAAAACTCCAAATTTAGAAGAAATATGAAAATTGTCAAACACTCAGTCCTTAGTGGGTAAAACTGAAAGCCTCCTAAACTGTCACAGGTCAAGGCAAGAGAAGGAGGGGGTACCACGTGAATGTGCTCCCAGCCAATGGTGTGTTGCGTTGACCTGACAGATGTGTCTTATAACAGGCCAGCCTTCCCTCCCTCCAGCTCATATAAGGTAAAAGAAAAAAGGTCTTTTCCCCCAGATGGTTAGTCTACTTGCAGGGGAAACCCCCCATCACAGGACCTGCAGACAAGAGAAAATTTGTATTCAGACAAAACTCAACTTTCTGCAGCATGGGGGTAAAAGGTGCAGAATGGAGACAAGGAGGTTAAGATGGGAAGATGCTCTAGAGAAACAGGTAAGTGATCACCTTGTGGATACTTCACATACCTCCAAATTCAACACTCCACACTGGTTTGATTCATATATTTATGAATAGATATATATTTGATTATAACTGTTACTTGGTCTGAGTGTATATCCACTGCACATTTGAACGCCACATACTTACTTTGTTATGTGTATCATCACACTGCGGTAATTGCACCTCTACCACAAAACCTTAGTGTTAATTGTAGTCAAACCTCAACTCTGGAAACAAAATTGCTTTTTGTACAATTAATCTTTTAGACACATTCTATCACAGACACTGCAACTGCTATAGCGGAAACATAACCTCTCTTCTCACTCTAAACAAACCTTCAAGATTAGTTAGGTGAGTTTATTTGAAGGTTTTCGTTAATCCGTTTGTTGGCAGTGCATTTATATTTTGTAATAGCACTAAGAGTGTGTCATATTTCAGTCAGATGGAAAGTCATATGCATGTCTCCTGGTCCTTCTCTCTAGCTATAAAAAATAATAATAAAATGAAATAAAATACTAAAATGCTTAAAGAGAGTGTGTACAAGTAGCTGCTGTTCTAGTCTGCAAGGGTTAAATGAAATAATCACCATTTTTGGTCCTCCGTTGCCAAACATTTGCTCATTATTACTCAGACTGCCTAGAGAGAGCCACACATTTTGTGCGATTATTATGGCCATTTTTGTTTTATGTACGTACATTTTTGTGTTTTGTTTTTAACTCGTCACATGTCGTCTGTACTAAGTTAAATCTAGAGGGGGTAATTGGTAAAAGATGATTCTTTCTTTTGCAAACTGAACACCATTAAAATGGCAGGTTACAATACCATAATGGAATCTAAGAAGTACCTAAACATTACACAATGATGTCATTTATCTTTTTTCCCTATTTTAATTCTAACTAAACATTGAAAATGTCTTCTTTAACCCCTTAAGGACCAAACTTCTGGAATAAAAGGGAATCATGACATGTCACACATGTCATGTGTCCTTAAGTGGTTAAAGGCCTATACTGTATAAAAAACTATATCCCCAGATGTTGCTGACCTACAACTCCTCTAATGCATTACCAGCCTTTAAAATAACAAAGCTTTATGGATGCTGTAGTTCTAAATCATTTGGGCATCTACTTTTTTGGAACCCCTGCTATACAATATCGTACATGTCTTTACAGTAATACTTGCGAAATCTCTGTATTCTTCACCACTAATTCTCCCTCTGCCATCATGGCCAGAATTATCTTCTTTTATCCTTGCCATATATCGTCTAGACGTTTTCTGTTCCAAATCCTAGAATGTCTACAGCCGTTCCTCTAAAGTTGTCTAGAAAGCTATAAATATAATTTGCTTTTGTTTATATCTGTATTTTCCCCAATGATATTTTGAATGTGTCTTGAATGACGGGGTACCCAATATTTGTAGTATGGGATAATGCTAGTGCTGACTAAGTGCTTACTGAAAGAGATCCTGTTAAATTAATTTGTTAAAAAAAACAAAACCCAAAAAAATAGAAACTTGATACTGGTTTAATAATATATTATGATTTAAAAAAAAATTATTATAATATTAATTCTACTATAATGCAAATGTTTATGAAAAAGCCAAATGCAGAGATGTATTTATTCCAGAAAAATCATAGCATTATTTTTTTTTTTTTTTTAGAAAATATAAGGTTGCTATAGATTATTGTCTATAAAAAAAATGTCATTGTTTCAAAGTCCAATGGTTTTACACCATTTGTGATTTTTCAGGAAAATTTGCAGGGGCCAGCTTCACACGATTATCTTATAGATTGTTTTATTAATGTAACCCCCTATGCAAGCTCATGAACTTGAGTGAACTTGAATGCCCTCTTACTATTGTAAGTAGATATGCCTTAGGTAAAAGTCTTTAAGTAGTCTTAAGTAGGCAAAGCCACAGAGGTAGTGAGTTTCTGTTCAATATTCCCATGTAGCTGATAATTATTTTAGCACATTTCAGATACAAATTCAGTGCTTAAAGAATTAAATCAACGGCAATACTGATGATGAAACATGAGTGTGCTTAAGGCAAGTGAGTGAGACTTTCTCTGAGTGAGTGTGGCCTTTTAAGTCTGCCAAACCTCACAGTTACTTCCTGTTAGGACTGAGACCCATTTTTTGGCAGCTGAGGCGGAGGCAGCTGCTCCAGATGTGACCACTTTAACCACTGGAAAAACCCCGAGGCTCTTACTGTCATGCTACGACGAGAGATTTCCCCTCTCACCACACATTAAAATCAAAGCTCCTTGTACAATGCTTATTATCTGTTATTCATAAAGCGCCAAAAGACATGCTTGCAAAGGCAAAGAGGCTTTCTGGATTACTGAGAGGCCACCATTCTCCATTTTAGGAAGTATTTCCCAGCTTCCCTAGTGTATATTAATGTGTAAAGCTGTTTTAATGTCCTGATTAGCACTATTAAAATCAAATGAACCATCTCTCCACTGTGGAGAGATACTAAAATCACAGATTTCTAAAATGCATTGCCCTGTTTTACACTCAAAAACAGCGTGAATAGTCAGTAAGCATGCAAAGGTTCATATGGCCTTGAACGCTGGTCATTTTTAGTCAGCTGAACTGAAAAACGTTATTGTCCATTAACAAGGGCTGCTTAACAGCACCACAGCACCCACCGCAGCTACAACTCCCATTACGTGCAGACTGCAGGTCCGTATCATATTGTGTATGCTTGTATTACACTTTTCGACAGAAGCGTAAGCAGAGTTATGTGTCAGAAACTTCCTTACATTGGGCATTGTTTAATTAGGTACATCAGGAGCCGGGAGCTGGAAATTGCTCTGGGCCTAAATACAGAATTTCAATTTGTGTTTCTGGTTTCATGCGCCTGACATTGCAGCCATAGGTTAAACCATCCCTGCATGCATGTATAAACAGGAAATTTAAAGCATACAGAATCCATTATCACAGCACAGAGACATCCTCTGGGGGAGCAAGGAGTTAAAGGGATCACAGCCCTTCCAATGGGTCACTGGGCACAATGGGCACCTTTGGCACTTCATGCTCAGCCAGGCCAATGAAGATATCTGTGCCTCTTTGACCAGGTGCTATGAGTATGGCACCCAGTATTTATATTCACACAAGAAAATAAAATTAAACCATCCGGCAACATGGGTAACTTCCAATACATGGGCCAGAGGTTTCTGCTCCCATAGCCCCTATGTTAAAGAGACACTCTAGAATACAAATATGAATTTCTAATGTAAGAAGTAATTCATTACTATTTAAATTTATCCCTCACCATAATAAAATAAAGAAGATTTACTTACATTTAGCACAATGTCACACAAATCTGCCTCTCTGCCCCTGGCTGTGATCATCAGTGATGATATCAGCCAAACCAGTACTCCCCCATAGGGATGCCTTGGGGCCTTTGCAAAGACCCCAACAGTGACAATGTCACTTTAATATACATGGCTTTTTACTAATTAGCAATGTTATCCTTACCTTGACACCTGGATGCTTGCAAACTACGTTTCTTATGATGCAAAGCATACTCTGAGTAAAATGTAGTTCTCTGACATCTTGAGAACCCATCACTGACCCGACAGAGTATGTAGGCTGTGGGGTGGCTGATTGATATTATTACACAGTATAAGGGATCAATATTAGTTTAACAGAGTCTGTTACTCCCCGACTGATGCAGCTACTGTTTGTTTTACTCATTTTGCTGGCCAGATCACATGCAAACATTTATTAATATTTGTCATGCAGTACATTGGTAATCACACCAATTAGTATAAAATGTATATATCAGCCTCATCATGCAGTAAACACTATATTCAATTTGATAATCACTGTGACTTTAGAGTCCCCAGGAGTGAGGTATGTATTAATTCTATATATATATATATATATATATAGCATATATAATATATGCAATTTCTAACCATTTATTACAATTCATTTTCACAATTCACACTCTAACATCAGCACAATGAGGTCATGTTTATAAATCCCATACTGTACTATGAGTGACACAGTCACACATTGCAATAGAAGTAATGTACAGTTGACTGACATTTTTTTGCATAGGACCCCCAGAGGTAACAGCAACTGTAATTCAGTTTCTCTCCCATTACTGACATGTTAGGACAGTGTGATTCTCTCCCTCTCTGCTCCTCTCCTAGCAAATGTGTAAGTGTAGAAGGGCTGAATTTCTGAGTGGAATACTCATCATTCGTGGGTAAACCATGTTGTATGATTAAAGCAAGTGGGGGATAGAGGCTATAGTGGGAAATAGGGGATATAATGGGGAGTTAGTGGATATAGTGGGAGGATTAGTGGCTGCAGTGGGGGTTTAGAAGATGTAGTAAGGGGATAAAGGGCTGTAGCAGGGGTTAGAGGTAGTAGTGGGAAGATAGGGGCTGTAGGGAGGGAAAGGTGCTGTAGTGGTGTATAAAGGCAGTAGTTTGGGTTAGAGGTTGCAGAGGGATGTAGGAGCTGAAGAGGGGGTTAGAAGATATAGTGTGGAGATAAGGCACTGTGAAGGGTGTTGGGAGCAGTAGTGAGGATTAAGGGCAGTGGTGGGAGCTAAGGGCAGTATTGGGTGTTTGGTTATTGGCAGTATTGGGGGTTTATAATTAGTAGTGGGGGTTAAAGGCAGTAGTAGGGGGTTATGTGGTGTAGTGGGGCAGGTATGAGGCTTTAATAAAAAATAAATTAAGCGCAGTTTCTTCTTCCTCCCCTTAAGATTACAATGGGCCAGGGAGGATAGAATCATTATCCTTTGTGGTCCGGTTGTAAATGCAGCTTGATCTGCACCCCAAGTGGGTGCAGACAGCTCCTTCCGCCATGATAACCATATATAAGTTTTGCCATGATAACCAGTGGCAATGCTCTAATACAGTAGAAGGGGCAGAGATTTTGGCCTGGTAGTACAGAGCAAGTTATACCTCCTCCATCTCAGATCAGGGTCAAGCAGGGGACTGCAGCAGCTATGCTTGATTTCTCAAGCGGTCGGCTGCCAACTTGTTCAGCAACCAGCATCCCTACTGTATTTGGGGGTGCTTAGGCACCCCAAGCACACCCCATGCGCACGCCTATGACTACTTTTGAACAGAAAACTTAGAAACACCTGTTTTGAACTTTGACCTAACTAGCTCATGCCAGTCTTTGCCTTCAACTTATACATACTGCACAGACAACTCAAAAGAGACACAAAAATATTCTAATATTTTTATTATTTTTATAAAATTATTATATTATATTGTAAAATTATTGTATTATAATATTCATTATCTGGAGAGCATTTCTTTCTATAAAAAGGTGAGGACTGAAATGTTGACTCTAATGCATTTATTTATTTTTTTTAATTTTTTTTTACATTCTACTTTTTTCCTTTGAATATATGATTTCTCTTTTTTATTTTGTATTTTTAAGTGGCTATTTTGCAACATACTATCTATGTGAGTGCCACATCTGATTTGTTCTTTTGATGTACAAATGCTGTCTTCACTCTGAATTCAGATTTGTCGTGAATTAACAACCAGCTGGCAAAACATAGGAAAATATATACTAGAGTTTGCTGACCTAAATTTTGCAATATGATTTTCAACTAGTCGTAGGTGAAAGCATCAGACAGAAATGTAAGAGAAACTTAATAATTCATAATTTACAATTAACCCTGACATCCACTAATCATTGTAGTGCTGGGAATTCATCAAGGAATTGCAAATATAAGGGCCAAAATAGTTGACTTGGAAACATGGGTGACTTGATGACATTCCACAAACTCTTACAGGGTTATTCACAAAAGTGAGAATTCAAAGTGGATTTCATATTTAAGGCTAGACTAGCTGAACCGAGAGCATATCTGACTTCCAGTTTGGCTACTTTGACCTTAAATTTGAAATTCACATTGAATTCTCACTTTGGTAAATAACCCTATAATTTGTAAAATGTAGGTAAAATAGTTTTGTATTGGAAGATTTTGTTTTTACATCACAGATATGTTGACCTACATTTTCTAATCTTTGCTTTCAATTAATCATCTTTCCTTAGAGGAACACTCTGGGCACCTTAGCTCCATCTCAGAAAAGTTGTTATGGTGTCAGTCTTGGGGTAAACCTGTTTACTAGGTGTGTACTTTTCTCGCACAGCTTTGTAAAATCTCTCAGCCTCACCCAGTCTGAGAATTCATTATTGAAGCCCTGGACCATTGTCAGACGCCAGGTGCATGATCAATTGGGTACCGTCTTTGCAACTTTGGGGTTAAACTGTTCATAAAAAGGACGGTGCTCAGGACCTCTTAACACCATAACAACTTTATTAAAATTAAGTTGTTATGTGCCTGGAGGTTTTTTTTAACATATGTTTATATCTATATTAGAGTTGTAGCTTTTGGCAGGAAATTATGGAGGAGTATGGGGCAGGCAGTAAAGTATGGAATAGCTCTAAATCAGATGACATCCATTCCCTTCAACCTAATTTCATATCTCTCTCCAGATCTCTTCCGTTAACATCTATATTCATCTCATCTGGTTATTCTCATTCCATCCTCTTCCTTTTTTTTCCCAGACTCAATTTGCCTCAAATTGCTTCATCTCTTTATTCCGTCTACTTCTTAATTATACCTCCTCTCGCCTACCACAGGCCAACTCTACTTCAAAGAATTGTTTTTAAAATTGTTGACTTAAAACGTTTCATTAAGGCATTGGGTACATAGCTGTAGCACACACATCACATGGACACTGGCTGATACTGATGGGATTCACCATATATTGAATCCTAAGCCGTTCTTATGCCTATCTCTAATTGTAAGTCTCTACTAACAGCTGTCTTATAATAATGTTTTGGTCCTAGTAATTCAGCAATGCCGTAATGTTTTAAATATGACAGTAAAGCTATAAATACACGCCTCTGCAACCCAAATCTTTATTTCTTTCCCCTTACTCATCCCATTTAATCACTCCTTATTCTATCTCCCTCCCTCGTCAATCAATCTCTTCCTTTTATTTACACGCTCATTCCATTCCTGTTCTCTGGGTCCCTGCACTCTTGCCTCTACCACGGTGTCACTGTCCTTTCCTGACTCTGTGAGTGTAAGAAGTTCTTGTTATGGGAGTGTTGGCTATATGGTCATATCCTTGTGCCATCCACCATTAGACTCTTATCACACATGTAGGATGGGGCAGTGACCGGGCATCAATGGTACAAATACAGCATAGTACAGAAAAGTGATGATTACCACTGCCAGGATAGAGAACACATTCCGAGTAGCCTCCTGTTTCTTCAAAGTAGCATTGCAACTAGCTTTGATGTTGGTAACACAAGCAGTGCCATTTGAAACATTGTGTTTTTTAAAACTTTATTCTACAGAATAACAATTATCACTATTCTTATTGCTCTATAGCAGGGGCGCACAAAAGGTAGATATCTAGACATTGTAGAACTACAATGATGCTATCCATGCCTTTAGAATGTTTTAGAAAGACAAAGTATCACGGAAGCTGTAGATCTACAACGTCTTGGGATCTACCTTTTAAGCACCCCTGCTCAATAGAATTTCATAAACTGGGAACTGCTGCACTTATAGAACTGTAACCTCTTAGACGTCTCACACTTCAAGCATGTTTACTACAGTCAAGATGATTTATGGAACTGTTTCACATTGGTCCATTTTTTCTACAGATGTAATTGTTTAGCAGCCATAAAATCAACACTGCCAGAGAGATTACTTTAAACGGATACCTCCTCCATAGAATTTGCTGTGTAAATGTTAGCTGTTGAAGAAGCCAATGGTTGGAATAGCTGAAATACTTGATTGCAGCATTACCATACATAGCCAAAATGGAAGCACTTTAGGTTTGGTGCCTTCATATTTATGGAGAGGAAGAGGTGACAGAGATTTAAGAGTGATAAAGAAACAGAGTTATTATAATGTTGTATATTCCAAGAGTAGGTTGGTCAGAACTGGTTTAAAATAAACCATTTTGTTTGGAAAAAGGGAGAACTTGGAACTTTTGGAGTAATCCAAAACAGGACAAAGTTATGAACACATATTAGATAGTAACAGGTGTAGAAAGTGGGCATATCATGACGCTCAGATGTCTGATGTAAATTACAACATTCACATACTATTTACAGTGAATATTGGTTAATTATTTTTTATAAAGTTCCAACATATTCTGCAGCAACGTACAACAGCGGTATTACAGACAAGACAGGCATTTTAGCCTAAAGCTTGCCATTCAGATTGCATTTTCTAAAATTCTGAGTTTAGCAAATAACCCTGCATATGTTTAAGCAAGTAAGAAAGGTTATATAAAAGTACATGTGGTTTACCTAACCACACGGTACTTGGGTTTAATTAAGGAGGATAACATAAAACTCAAGAACTGGGCCAAACATACCATCTTTTTAAAAATTTTTATTTGTTCTTATTTATACTTATTTGTTCTTTTATGCATTGCTTGCCGCATCAACAGAAATGCATTTTTGGGGTTTGTGGTTTAGAACAGTCACTCATTTCCTGCTGTCCCCATGGCTCACGGATGACCCATCATTCCACTGCTTATACTATGTCCTTTCTCACATGTTATTTGACCTCTCCAATTTTTATACAGCTGCTCTTTTTTTTGTTTTTTTATCGTAACAAGAATGTTACATGTAAACAGACCAGCTAAGTGTTTGTGTCACACGCTCCCCATTTCCTCTAGCAATTAACCCTTTATGTGGATTCAGAATTGTCTGGAGAAAATCTTTACTTTTCACTTTTTTTTTTGGTATCAATGCGTTGGTGAGTCTTATCTCTTATTTTACCAGCTCGTTCCTGCATCTTTGTAACCTTTATACCTTTATTTTATTGTGCCGCACGAATTCTAAACTCAGAGTGACATCCGTAATATCAACTAACTGTTAGTCACATTTTCAATATTTGATTAAGTTGAGAACAGGCACGCACCAAAATAAGGAAATGTTTTAATGGAGCAGAGCAAAGGATCGGCTCTAATTCAATATTAATTTAAATTATGGGAAATGAAGGCCAAAGCTGCAAAATAAGGGACAATAAAGCCAAGCCGGAGATTTAGCAGACTTAGAGAGTTATGGAAAAAATCTATATTAGACTAACCTGTGTTACGCCTTAGTTACCCACAACACAGTGTATACTGAATGTCGAAAAAGAAAATACATTCTTAAATCAATCAATACAACATGAGAAAATTAGAAGGGAACTTGAACTTCTGTTAACCGTAACCCTGGCCAGCATAGTTTGTTATTTGCCGCAGGGGTAGGCAACCTTTGGCACTCTAGATGTTGAATGACGCTGTAAAGGCATTATGGGAGTTGTAGTCCACAAACAACATCTGGAGTGCCAAATGTTATCTACCCCTGCCTTACAGAACGAGTACCGATTACCCAACATAAAATATTTAGGGGACAAACGTCCAAAGTTGAAATTATCCTCACTTCTGCAGGACTGGAGTTTGTTTTCTGCTTTTTAGTCTAAAATTGTGAGTCAGTTCAACTTGCAGTTTTAGTAATTAAAAATGAAGCCAAACTGCTTTTTTACTCGAAACGTTTATTAATTAGTAATTTTATTATATTGATGTACATTTAATCACTAAACAGTATGAAAAATATGTGGAAAATGTATCACAAAGTAACAAAGTTTGGAAATAATCTACCATTACTGCCATGCTACAGATTTCACTTTAGTCACTGGAATAAATAGACACAGATAGAAGAAGGACGTACTGGAGTATATGTTTTATTTATTTTTTGTTTGTAATTCTACAATCAACTTTGGCTGATTGCGGAACTCTGTGCACCCTGTGGGTATGTGCTGCTGCACAATTTGCTATAAATGCAAATCATCAGCTCAGCCAGCAAGTACAGATGTGTATATCATATCTGGGATTTGTGTCACTGACATAACAACAATACGATAGCAGGAGTTTATATATATAAATATCTAAATAATACTGCTTGCAAGTTAAATGTACTGTAGGTGTAAACAAATCACATAATAAACAGATACAAATCACATAGTAAACAGATACAATTTACTTACAAAACTAGCAATATTGATTTTGTATTTAGCTATAAAAGTGGTCCACTAACGCCTACATTTTTCTCCTAATTCTTGAAGAGCTCGAACTGTTCTTTGAGTTTGCCCAAGTTGAGGAGCTCAATGCAACAAAAGTAAGGTGATTGTCAATGAAGCAATTTGCACAGCACATGGCTAGGTCCCTGCTATCAGAACTAGCTGAATTTCACACCTACATATTGGTGATCTTTGTGGACCATGACCTGATAGAGAACTGTACTTCTTGATGATTTATTATAATAATAATAATCATTGAAGAGGTTCGGTGGAGCAGGGACTTGACCCGCGGCAAAGGCACCAAAATTGCCTTGGCTTCATTGGAGAGCCCTATACCATTTTACTTCTCTCTAATTGTTTTGTGTTTTTTTCAGAATGCAAAGACACGGTGTTTTTGGCATTCCTTGCAATCCAAAACATTTTAATACGTCAGATGGATGAGACGGCGCTGTATGTGGCGTTATATCTTATTTAGATTGAAATTGAGTGGTAAAGGGGGCTTTTGCCACTAAGAAGGCTTTGTTCTTGTGTTTCTCAGACTGAACACCAACAAATTCCACCAGTTTATGGCCCAAAATGTAATCAGGAGATAGCAAAATTAGACTTTTTGGGTTGTATCCTTTAATAAATATTGTATTTATTACAACAATACATTGCCTTACATATTGAAGTGCACTGCTGTTTTTCTCACAAAGGGTTAAAATACATGTAGCCAAATTATTACATGCTAGGTTTTCCAGTTTTATTTGAACCATAGACACAAAGCACTTGGACAATAATGTAAACACACACACACACACACATTAATTTATGGTCTCATAGTCAGCATGTTCAGCATTGCTATATAAGGTATATCTAGAACTCGGGGGAATTAAATGGCACACAAGCTGGGTTATTCACTAAAGTGAGAATTCAAAGTGAATTTTAAATTTACAGAATTATTCACTAAAATTAGAATTTAAGGTGAACTTAAAATGGAAGTGAATTTCAAATTGAATTCTCCTTTTGGTAAAAAACCCTGAAGGTATTACAGCCTTGTTCACAAGAACTGACATTAAAGAGGGAAGGAAATCGGGAGCAAATATGTTTATAGAAAGGTTTACTTATCTGCTTGTGCATTATATATATAATTGTAATATTTCTAGTAAAAGTCTGGTAAATTAAGATTACAGGAGAAAGGAAAGTTAGGGAGAAAGAACCAGAATCTTTTTTTTAAGCACTGGAACTACATCCCTAACACCGTTTGACAGGTGAAATATACATGACAACATTCCAGTTCAACTTAGTGTATTCACAAATGTTTGCAATTTTCAAGCCTGATATGGAAATATGAATACACTGTTTATCGAGCCAACATTCCACATTCTTCTACAACAGAGTTACGTTTATTGCTATGACAAACCAAAAATGCTGCGTGTCTTTCTTGTTAAATCCCACATTGTAAGATTATTTTGTATAAATATACTGATATAAGATCTATCTGTAGCAATAGAAGCTATATCTTTGTAATATTCCCAAACTGCCTTGGGGTTTCAATACTATAATCTATCTTAGAATCAGCCACTGAAAAACAGCACATGCCCCCAGCAGTCTGGCTTACTGCCGGAGGAGGATTTGGACTGTTTGAAGTCCCACGAATCTGCCTCTGACCATAAAAGGAAGAGACATTTTTCTTCAGTCTGGATCATGGAAAAAGAATAAGCTATTTTTAGGTAGAGGTCTGGCTGCCTGTGAGAGAGGCTGCACTGTATGATAGTGATCTATATACTGTTCTAGTGTTCTGACACATTAACAGATACATACTATAGATACAATGAAACACAGCCATCTACGCACCTCCCACCCAAATGCTTTGGATATGACAAAAGTGAATTTAAAAAAAATTAAATTGAGTTTACGTGGCTGATAAGAAAGGAGTTTAGACATTTTCGGTCATTTTCAGATAAATATACATATATGCAGCATTATATATATATATATATATATATATATATATATATATAATATATATATATATATATATATATATATATATGTATGCAAGAAACCATAGAAATGTTGCAAAAATAAAAAAAAGACACAATGGGACTATATAGTCTGTCCGTTACTGATATTTTATATTTGATTATTACGCTTTTTTAAATTTTTGCCGATCCCAAGCACCATCATTTTGCCAAATAAGGATGCACGTTAGTCCAAGATATTCCTGTGTGTATGTATATGCCTTACTGGTTTGTTTAACCCCTTAAGCACACATGACATGTGTGACATGTCATGATTCCCTTTTATTCCAGAAGTTTGGTCCTTAAGGGGTTAAATGATGTCAGTCATTCCCAATGTGCATCACATTAATCTGATTTTTTTGCAGTCACTAGAGGCGTTAGGTAAAATTACATTTTGTGTTTAATACATAGATATTTTAAATATCTTTAAGCTACTTAATGTTCTTGGAATACATATTTCAATAGTACCTAATTTCTCCACGTTACTTATCTGCCAAACCCATAACTTTTATATCTCATTTAACCTCATCTTGTTTTAAAAGTTTGTTCCTAGTTTGCTAAATGCTCTCAAGTCTCCAGAGTCTACCCAATGTCTTCAATCCCTAGTTGACGGGGATTTACAACTCCTGAGCCCACCTTTTGGCCCAAAGGCTCAACCACCTAAAACTAAAATCATGGCAACATTTTGGCTTGCTATGCTTGATTAAAGCACAAGTCAAAATGATACTTTGATTTCACGTTGATGCTTCAATAAAAGTCTACATGAAGTCTAAGGTGGTTGAGCAGAATATATCTGTTTTAAAGGTTGTGATAAAACCAGCGACATTGTAGAGGATGCAGCGGTCCTGTGCTCTCAGACATACATGATTATTCACTAAAGTGAGAATTGCCATAAATTCAAAGTGAAATTAAAATTTTAGGCTAAAATAGCTGAGTTGGAGGCATTCCTGACTTAGAGAATTTTTCCAAGTCGTCTATTTTTGTCTTAAATTTGAAATTCACTTTGAATTGACTTACAATTCCGACCAGTTCTCCTTTTAGCAAATAACCATGTTATTGTTCTGGGGTTTATAAATGTGTGAGATTCACAAGTAAGTGTGGACCTTATTTATACAATAATACATACTATATGCCTAATTCAGCGTTCTGTGTACTTTCTTTTCAGATATATTTTGTTTAAATGTGATTGCTGCTGAATGTGTATTATAATATTATAATATATATATATATTTTTTTTTATTTTTTTTTTAAATTTCTTTTATTTATCAAATTTTATCAAAGTACATATTTTCTCTTTTAGAAAATGTAATACATATAAAACATTAACATATTAGCCATTCTATTACATATACATGAACATTAACTACTACATTCAAATACATACACTTTTCACACATAGCTTAACATTGCATATATTTTTCTATATAAGCTTCTGATTAGAATATACCTTTATTGCTTATCTTTAACTTATTTGCCCCTTATATCTTCCCGTTTTATATTTATAGAGGCTTTATACTGAGACATGTTTCGGATATTTCTCTTTTTTGACGAACCTTAATCTCCCGTGTATCACTTAATATATTCTATCTGATTGCCACATCTCCAGCAACAATCCTGTCGGTCTTTGTACATATTATTATAATAATGGTAATTCAGATTTGGGATATATATACTGTGTTGCGGACTCCATAACTTTCATAATCTATATGTTGGCGCTTTATAAATGCCAGTAATAAATAAATAAATAATCTATTAATTATTTTGTGTGTGAATTTTATCTTTACACACTTGAAGACTAGCGTTTCCTTGTGTAGAATGCAGTCCTTAGATGAGGTCAGAAGTGGTTTTAAATTTGCAGGGATTCTCGACCGCTAAATCATTGAAATGTAATGTATTTCAAAGTGTTCTTAAAAGTGACAGTTAAATTCCACCATTATTTTGATCGCATTTATTAAAATGATATAAATAGTGATTGTTTTCTACATAGTACATGCGAACAGTTTTCACAGAAATTTCCATTTCGGAAGACTGCCAAATTGATAGCGACAGAAATTTTTTGCCACTTTTCTTGAAATAAATGGTGGAAAAATTCATAAATCTGCGTTGGTGAAAAAATGGTGCTTATTCAAAAATGACATATAAGAAAATTGTCGGTGACACTTTGGGAAATCTCCATCAAGATAATTGAAACTCATTTTTTTTACATACATGTCTAGCCCCCACCCCAACCTCCCAAAAAAAAGAACTGCCCTTTACATGTCTGGTTGATCTGTAACATGATGTAGATTACTTGCAATGCATTAGGGGTAACAGAGTATAGGATACAGTGATAGAACGGTTCACAATGAAGAACAGCTCTGACATCTCTGACATCATCACTGGGGCCTGGTCGGGCACCTAAAGCGCCACAGCGCTGACCGGGCCCAAGGAAATCCATTGCCATCAGGTGGCCCCAAGAGCATGGGACACCCGATCGGCTCCTTCAATGCGCCCCTGGCGTTTTTTCCATGCGGTCGGTGCCGTACCAAAATGCTGGCGGGCCACCTGGAGTGACAGGCCGGTCGCAGCTGCAACCTCTGCGACCGAGGTAGTTCCACCAGTGCTAAAAACGTATAGAACACGACCCAGATGTTGTCTTTTTTTTCCAGTCACTTTTTTTCTCCAGAACTCCTTTTTTCATAAAAATGAATAAGAAAAAAACAACAACATGAGAACCCTTTATTTCTAATACATCCCCTTTCATCCAATATGAAAGCACTGTCATGGGGGTTAAACCTCCAGGAAAACACTCATCAACTCAGGAGACAAGACTTGGAGGACATCCAAGTCATGAAGGGAACCTCAAATGTAGTCAACAGCAGCAAATGTCTGATGTGATTGCTCTGCTAAATTCCATTCATACTATGAAAGCGTAATTGCCCCTGTTTAAGTTTCACAATGATGGTAATGTATACAGAGCTGCGCTAATGACTGAAAAATAGCTAACAGGCCAAACACAATGATTTTCATTCCCTTAAGCAAACCTGATTTTTATAATTTTAAGAGGCCCAGATTATCCCTGCAAGAAGAATGCTTTCACCATTTGGAATTCGGTCAGTTTCTGGAAATTTCGCAATGTTTGTCCATCTTAGGACAGAACCTGCATAGTACATTTGGATTTAATTCCTTGAAGCAAATAACACAAGGAATAGAAAACCTTAAACATACAGATTTCAATCCAACCCCAACCATTCACACAGATATACACACACTTAAAGGGACAGACAAACTTATAGGACAGTCTAAGCACTAAAAACATGTAATGTTACTGAAGTGATTTTAAGGCACAGATGCTGCCCCCCACAGCCTTGCAAATGAAAACAGTGTAGTTTCTGGGAAACAACATTGATTACATTTTACAATTTCCACTTTCCTAGTGGTTGTCGTTAAGTAGGCGTAGAAATAGCAACATGTAAAACTTTGGATTCAGACACAAATATCTACATCAATGCATCTCAATTCAGTCCTTAGCGAAACATTAGATTGGTGGAGCATAGCGTGTACAAGTAATAACGGAGTGGTTTTTGTATTGTATATATTTTTTTTACAAATAGGAAGGCTTGGCCTGGAGTTGTGGGAGGGGCATGGTCCCCTATTTAAGCCCTCTACTCACCTCCACCTGTCCCGTTTCATTTCCTTACCGTCACTTGACCCCACCCTCCTCTCCCTTTTAATACTTTTCTTTACTCATTACTGGGTGGGCCCTCTTTATTTACAGGCCTACTGCTACGTCGGTTCCGGCACACCTCAACCGACTTGCCGTCTTCGTACACCTTTGCTATACCTTCATACTCTCCTTACACTCTTGCCTCGGCTTTTATGCCCCTACCACAAATGTAAATCTGCGTCTGTGTTATTGTTTTATTTTTGCATTTCAGGGCTTACAAAATACAGACAGAGAGTGTGACAGGACATACTCACAGACACATGTACAGACAGAAAAACAGAAGGAATTACTGATGGATGACCATATAATCAGATAAATGTGGAACATTTTGGAAAGTTGGTCATTCACATTGAGAAACAGACACGTTGTGCCTTTGTGAGGCTAATAATGTAGAAATCAGAAAGTACATGTATATCGTTTCTTTAAAACAATACCACCCAGCCTGTCTGTCAGTGTATATTGCCACAAGGTTAGTTTAGAATATAAAATCATGGATTACTATATTACAATGGTTTAAGTATGGAAGCACTCAGCAGACCTCTAACAGATGTGACACCAGATGTAATATTTCAAAGAAGATCTTCCGTTAGTGTAGTAAACAAGCTGTCACATCTGAAAGATTCTAGTTCCATTGTTTGTCCTGAACGTACAACAAGAATAATATCTGTATTATTCTATAAATAATATTACAAAATTACTATATTCCATGATCTGCCTTTAATATCAAACACTGTAATGCATGGGTGGAGACATAATCTGTGCAATTATTTACTATAATGAGCAACCCATTGTACCTGGATTATCTCTGTGCGAAGGTGGGGTCCTGATCTTGGCCAAGGTTAGTGAGAGTCTACCTCCCAAATAAAAACCTTTATATCACCTGGTTAGACCAATGTAACATCCAAGTCATGAAGCACGTAAGACAAAGTGTAGAACCAGGAAAATCCCAGTTAGACCATCTCACCGGTAAGTGTCTTTGGGCAAGACACCGAACAATATATATCCACTTACCTCAAATCCTCATACATTATGAGCTCATTTGAGCTTTCTTCATCTCTAAATATCACTTTCTATAATTACACGCTGTGGAATATGTTGGTGCTATTAAAATGCTAATAATAATAATTTTAATAGCAATAAAGGCAGACGACAACTGTAACTCCCAGGTCCCCTGGCTGTCCTAACAGTAACAGTAAGACCATGGCTGTCTTAACCCCTGCACTAAACTGCACTATACTATGCATCAGAGGTCCTCAAACTCCGGCCCCCCAGATGTTGCTGAACTACAACTCCCATGATTCTTTGTATTACATAAATAGCCAGAGAATCATGGGAGTTGTAGTTCAGCAACATCTGGGGGGCCAGAGTTTGAGGACCCCTGCTATACATTAAGCCCTACACTACTCTGTCTCTAAACATTAACCCACACTCTACATACTTGTGCCACTAAAAATTAACCCCTATACTAAACTGTCCCTAAACATTAACCCCTATATTACACTGTCCCTAAACATTAACCCTTACACAGCATCACACTGTTACTGAACAACAAGCCCTTCACTACACAACATAATTACCATTACATAACTACACAGTAACCCATTCACTACCTTAAACACTACACTAGCACTAACACCTACACTACTATAACTATTAAACCCTGCACTACCCTAGCCACAACCACTGACCCCTACGCTACCCAAACCCTAAGCCTTTATCAGGGAAAAATAATGCCTTTGATTTAATTGTTTATTGTAACGTCTCTAGAACCTCTGAATAGCATTACACTGCTAAGGCATAGTTCAATGTAATATATAGCCAGTGTATAATAACACAGAGCTGAAATACTTGTTTGTGTAATACTTTCTTCCATCTATTAAACATAGATCTGAATTATGATTTGCATATGAAATTAATTAGGAGACCTAAAAGATTGCCATTATGCTTCATTAATGGAGTCAACTCACTTAAAGAAAAGGGACACTATAGTCTCCAGAACAACTATAGCTTAATGTACTTGTTATGGTATCTATTGCATGTCTCTGATGGTATTTTAATGTAAACACTGCTATTTCATAGATAAGTCAGTGTTTACATAGCTGCATGGGACACCTCCAGTGGCAGTCATTTAGATGCTGTGCAGCACTGACATTCAGCGACGCCACGCTCTGCATGGAAATGCTGAACATTCCCCATAGAGATGCATTGATTTAACGAGACATGCTGACTGGCCAGCGCAGCATTTTGCCTCGTATGCGCAATAGGTTCCCAATGCTTTGAGAAAGCATTGGATTGGCTGATGATCTCAGCCAAGGAGGCGAATCAGGGTAGAGCCAGCGCCAGCTGACCTGTGCAGTGCTGGAATAAAACGACAGGAATACATATTTGTATTCCTGTCACTATAGTGTTCCTTTAAAGGGCTACTATAGGCACCCAGACCATTTCAGTTAATTGAAGTAGTCTGGTTGCTGTGACCCTTTGTAAACATTGCAGCTCTAAGTTTGCCCCCATGGGCTCTCTACAAGACAGCCACTAGAGGGCTTCCGGGATCCAAACGGACTTTTGGTATGTTATCTTGAATAACATTGAATAATGCTTTCCTATGGGGATGTCTTATGCGCGCGCGCCCATTGCCACGCATGCACATTAGATCTCCCCCGGACTGATGGTGGAGGAGGAGCGTGGGCGGATCCTGATCCAGCACCGAGTGACATTGGTGATGGATTCAGGTTAGTGGCTGAAGGGGTTTTATAGATTTTCTATTGCTTACCTGCCTCTATACTTTACTTACCTACTAGAAATATTATGTTGAGGGTTTTTTCTGTTGCTTTATTAACATTGGACTGTTTAGACCCAGATGACAACTTGTAATGTATATTTTTCCACCCACCATCATTTTGGCTTGATCTTATATGAGGACTGACTCTGGTGCTAGTAAAGTGCTTAGAATGCAGATAAACAGAAACTTAATTAGACTTTGCTAAAGGCCAGCCTAACAAAGAAACCAAGATAATATTGTGTTAAAGTTAATACAGTAAAGTAATTATCACACTGACGGGAGCTATTAAAAACATCTAAAAATTATTAATGAACTGGATTAAGCAATTTGCTACTCTAAAAATGTAGCCTAGATAACGAACTATTAGATAAGAAATATTAGTCCTCCGAAGCTGCAGGCTATTAAAATAATATATTTTTGTTTCTACATAACACCATAGCAACTTGCCTAAACCTCTATTAAACCCAAGCTCCTGTTAGCTTTGCAGGTGCTTGGGCTGCAGGGAGTTTACAGATGTGGTAAAAAAACTTCCCCTGAGGACCTCAAGGATCAAGAGCAATGATATGACTTGGAGCAGAGTTCTTCAAGCTGAGGTTCAGGTCCCACCAACAGACCAAGCTATGACGATATTCTTATGCACATTGTCTTATAATGAACAAGTCTTTCAATAAAAATAGGTGTCACTGACCAAATTTGCTATAGTAAAGCACAAATATGATGATGGGTCTGCTGATGAATCTTGAGTACAGCTTGAAGAACATGTCCTAGACCAGTGGTTCTCAAACCTGACCACATGGCCCACGAACAGTCCAGGTTTTGTCAGTATCTGCATTGGAATAAAAAAGAATTGTGTTTTCTGTAAACAGATGCATTTATAATTAATTCATTACTAACAATATTGCTTCCTGGTAATCTAACAAAACTCTTATTTTTCTTGCAGGTAACATCACAAGAAGTTGCCAGTGCCTAAAGTATCCATTGATTTTTGTTTTGGCAAGATCTTCAAAGAAGCAGAGGACTTAGACCAAATTGTTTTAATGCATTGTAGAAATCATGTAACTTATAGGAAGGCAGGTGAGAGAGGAGGATTGTGCTCGGAAACACTTTTAACTTTTATTTATTCAGTTATTTTTAAACATTTGAAAGATTCCCTAATGTTTTGTCCTAACCTCCTATTAGCAGCTGGCACGAAAAGGGGAGAGAGGAAATTGTTTGCACATTTGTATACAAGTGTCTGTCTGGAGAAGCAGCCACATTAACTCACAAATAACAACCTTGCCAAAAAATTCAGCTGTGCAGGAATTATGCATTGCTAAACTTTCATATTTATCTAGAACAGTTTGGGATTTGAAGAATTAACACCACAACCTTTAGCATTCGTTAGTATTCTAGAATAAAGATCTTAGATTATATTATATTAACCTGCATGGATAGTTAATTCGATGTTCGTGCCCCAAAAATATTTTTGTTGATTCTCGATTTTTGTTTTATTTATTTTTTTAATGTATACTGAACTGTATTGGATCCTGCATGGTGCAAAAATGAAGCTAATTACCAACGTACTGTAATTTTTGTTGATGATGTTCTTGGTGAGGTCCTGAGCGTCCATACAAGGCATCCTGTTGACCAGTGTCTCCCAGCCCAAGGTGCAGTGCTGCATCTCTGGTCAGTTGTGAGTCTGAGATGAAGCACTGTAGCTCGGGAAGGCGGAATTATGCGGCAGTTTAGAAGAAAGTGCAAGAAAAATTTTACTCAATGGAATCAACCATCTAATGGATTTCAACAAGGAGAAACTTTCATCTTTATTGAAATGTGCATGTGGGAAATGGCCCTGATGTTTTTTGGATGTTTGTCATATGTAGACAATGTTTGGTGATGTAGACAAAGTAAGTTTCCCAAAAACTGTAAAATAATGTTAATATTGAATTCTACAGCTATGATCTGAATTATCCTGCTACTACTATGATTGTATGACACGGTACTTAAAGAAACACTCTGGGCACCACCATAACTTCAACAAAATTAAGTTGTTATGGTGCCAGGAGGTCCATTCTTTATCCATAGTGGTTAAACTGTTCACTTATTTTTTATAAATGGGGACCTGGTGATTGGCTTAGAGAGTCAACTCACTGCTCTAAGTCAATCAACTGTGCCAATTTCCTGCGCCAGTCACTGCTTCCTGGATCTGAATTTGATAAACTGAACATCATGGCAGACAGGCAGGACCAGCACTGTTAGGACAACTGTGGAATTAAACGGTTTAAACCCTATGGGTAAGGACACCATGATAACTTTATTTTGACTAAATTTTTTTATGTGTCTGGAGTGTTCCTTTAATACTCAGCGTAGTGCATGTAATAAAACCTTTGTAATTTGCACAAAAATTTTAGATGGCTGGATTACTCTTATACAGAGGAGAAAACCTATAAAATAAATCTGTATGCATGCTAGCATTTATGAAGTTGAACTAGTACATTATTTCCTTAAATGACCCCTTAATGAAGAGCCTGGCCACCCGTTATCATGCTACTCATTGATTCCTTCTTTTCTACATGTTGATTTAATCCTTCCAAAATATTTCTAATGACATCCATCCATACTAAAAGTATAGTATTCATAGAAAATGGTGGTAGAATATTAGGGCGTTGCATCAAAAGTTTTCAAATATCTGGATATTATTCTATGAAATGATTGTTGACATATCTTTAAAAAATTCTAGCTGGGCAAGTTATTCTCTGGAAAGTGTGGCTAACACATGACTCTTAATACAATTTGTTAACTTGTCAGCCTATGGAGTCCAAATATCAGTGACTTAAATTATTTGCTTGAATGTGTAAAAGTATATCAGCAGTAAAAAAAAAACAGCTTCAAATCTAGATGTTGGAAATAGCTAAAACATTTCAAGTACCGTATTTCGCCACATAATGGTCGCCACCGCAAAAACCCTGGTTTTTAAGTAAAAAAATTGGCTCAAATTCAAATTATCACGTAATAGTCACATAGTTGACCATTGCTGTTTTTGTTGTGAGACATTCTTATTCTTGAAAACTAATGGCGAATATCCTACTGAGCTTATACAGAAGAGAGGGTTTATTACCTATCAGTTTATCTTATTTTAGTGCATTTTATCTATGTAACGCATTATAAAATGACAGGAGGACAGGGATCAGGATTAGAGCTTACGTAATGCATTAGAAAATATGCTATGTTTTGTTATCAATAACTATAATGTTATCAGCAACCGTTAATAACAAATCTTTGCATATATTATATTGCAAAAAATAAAGCTTCACATAATGGTCGCACCCCCATTTTAAGGAAAGGAATTAGTCATAAAATATGCGACCATTATGCATTGAAATACGGTATTCTGCAGTGCTTACTTTGATTGGCGTCTTTGAAAGAACGTTAAGACAGAAGAAAGATCTGATCAATAAGCCTTACCATGTTTCTTTGATGTGTTTGTTTGTCATGTTGCACTTGTTTTTGAGAAAATATACACTTTTTTAGACTCTGGGTAGTTGCCCTTCAATAACATTTGCATTGCGTACATAGTTTAGTTAAAAAATAAGTAGACAATAACAGCTTTATGAGTGAGTTGCACCTATAATTCCACCCGATTAATTGAGATCATATCAAGGTGTTCATGTCAGGTGATACATTTTACATTGACATTTGACGTGGTTGAAAAATTGCTTGAAGTCGAAAATTTGCAGAAGGGTCTGATTGGCTGTTGTGGCTGGTCACTTTGGATTGTTGAGTGAAACCCATTTGACCTAGTCTTCGAGGTCCAGTTTTCCCAGGAATCCCTTGGGTGTTGTGGTGGGGATTCCTGGAAATACTGTTCTTGTGGTCTAGGTTTTGCATCTGAGAACATCTCTTGCTTCCATGAAAGTAATAACAGGTGAGTCAAAATAAATGTTGTATTTATTGATGTCAAGTACTTTTATTGAACATTTTAAGTGCCAGGTTAGGAGATGCCAAAAATAAGTAAACAAAAAGCATTTTTTCACATTTTGGTCTTGTGCAACAAACTTTTACCTCTGATGAAAATCTTTTATTATAGGGTTGAAACTTCAGACATCTTTGCTAAAACTTTTATTTATTTTGTATTTACTTTGTCTACTTTGCAGTACCTTTGAGTTAAAAGTGCAGTCTAAGCACCACAAGAACATTGTATCTAGATAAATAACCACCCTATGCAGCGCCCACTCACTCTACCAAGAGTAGGCTGTAGTGTCAGCAGTTAGTGAAGATCACTGCTGTTTTAAGACAATCCACTCAAACAATCAAATCAAACAGCCCGACACATGTAGATCCAGGCTGCCAGTGTCAATTTCATGCCGAATGTACGTGTAGTGTGAGATGCAGTGTCAATATTATTCCCATTTTAGTAGGCATGACAATTTGTACTGTATAATTTAATAATCTGTAATACTATTTGATAGTTTTTTTCTTTATAAAAACATGTAGGTAATATACATTTTAAATAAAGTGAATGAAATAATCCTTGGTTATGTGTTTTGTGTCAAAATTTATGGAGATTACAAGTCACCCACCACATTGAGGTTGTAAATTGCAGGTGAGATATGGAATACTGAAATAAAACAAAATGGTGGGGCACTTACATAAAAGTCTCATTGCTATATATATATATATATATATATATATATATATATATATATATATAGTGTAGATTGGATAATTTAACTGTTGTGTATTTTTTTTTTATCTAACAATTCATATTTTAAAAAAGAGATTTTTTTTAAATGCAGTCACAGAAGTTTTCCATGTGTTAATACGTACATCTTTGAAGAAAGTAGATTAAGGAATGAAATAAAGTTTAAGAAATATTTTGTTATGACAAAATACTATCTCCAAATCTACAGCACTTTCCCAAAATCAGTTGCATTTGCCAGCAGACGATAATGTGGGTTAAAAGTCGTTGGGGCCACATATTTTTACCATAAAACCTAGGACAAAGGATAACTTGTATCTCGCTCTACACCAAAAGCAAGTTTCCTTACTTGAGTTCAACAAACGGTTTTCTAGCTTAAAGGAAACCGTCAAGCACCATAGCCACTCCAACTTGCTATAGTGGTGATGGTGCCAGAAGTGCCCTGGTGCTGACTCATTGTAATTAGCCAATCAGTTTTTACCAGGCCTGCTGGGTACTTCTCTCCACCTGTACTACTAATAATGTAGAGCTGGAAACTCATAAAAAGAAGATTCTGTTAGGCTCTCCTAAGCTAAGCCCTCCAGTGCAGGACTTAGCTCATTGGCTGAGAGCAATCATCTGATAATCCCAATGAGCTAGAAATGCAAATTCATTATTTTTTATTTTTTAAGTATTTAGTATCTTTTTGCATAGATTATTTTAATAAAGATTAAATGTTCGAATTTTGTATTTTCTAGCTGCTATTTTTTTTTTTTAAACGTATCTAGTAGGTGAGTGGCAGATTTCCACCCTTTTTTATTTTTCTTCACAGAGAAAATAGGTTTATAACGTTTTCTCAAGCCAAAAGTTATCAGAACATTGGGAATGTACAAAAGCTCAGTAACTTGACTTTGGTTAGTTCTCACTCAGGTCTCACATATGTTTTCGCTCACATGTACCATTGCAGACAGAACGTATACGATTTGCATACCAGACTGAACCCACCAATAAGGGCATCTCAGGGCAAAAATGCTGGCAAAGACGCTCCGCTGTATAAATATATTTCTATCAACTTTCTATATATATTTAAAGGGATAGAGCAAGTAAGCCAGTGGCCGTTGCCTACACCTCAATATTGACATTCATAAGCCTCCATTTGTATTTTACATGTAAATTGACTTCCTGGACCAATACACAAATGTACTCAGAAACAATGTATAAAGGGTTACAGCATTTTATCCATGATGTATAAAAATGTTACCACTATTTGAAGTTTCGGGGCCACACCGTTTTATCTTCTGATTTTTTACCCTTTATGCTTGAACGTAAAAATTTTAAAGTCAACTACTCAAAAAGAACATTTAGTTCATATCAGTCATTGTCATGACCATACCATACCATATTTCCTAAGTGTCCGTCGTTAGGAATGACAGTTCTTATTTTATGAATAAATACCTATGTGCCTTTCTTCTATTACATTGTTCCTAATTGAGGTTTAAATTACAGTGTATTATAGAGCCTCAGAGAATTAAAACTCTCAGCAATGTGTCTTAACAATATCTAGGTTTACCCATTTATGTGTCGGGAGGTATGTACTGCCTCTGCTAGGATGACGAGGATTCTTTGACACCACAGTGTTGACACACACAGCACCAAAGCACTGTCACAAAAATAGCATTCCCCCTTGTTTTAATTACCTTCCAATCGAAGCCCATGGGTGAGAGGGTAGAGGGTGGACAAAGGCATGTACACCTCCCGTCTTGTCTATTAAAGGAACACTATAATGGTAAAAAAAAAATGAATCTATGCATCTCTGGGAAAAGTTCAACCTATTCATACAGAGCACTGACCTATTTTCTCTGAAAAGGCAGTGTTTACATTTAAATGCCTGCAGGGACATACAATACTCTCCATAACAACTACACTAAGATTTTAGAGCCCCACCCACCTCCTATGGGTGGGGGAATCTGGGATAGGGGGGGGGAGGGTGGTAGTGGGATATCCACCCTCAGTTATTATGTTAACAGCCCACACCTATCACTTAGGGCTGGGGAGGGGGGATTTATTAGAGCTGGCCACAGGTGAGGGGCAGGGTGTGGTTAGTGACCAGTCCACCCCTCATTATATAATTTCTGCCCTCTAGTGGGACAGGACTTTTCTTGCAACAATAGCTGGTCAGAAACTAGTTTTTAGTTATGGTCGCTCACGTTTTAGTATACATGACCCTTCTATTGGCACCTCGAGTGAGGCCAAAAGGGAAGTTTTACACCTCCTTCATATTATCCACTTTTTTTTTTTACATTTTAATGTGGCTCCACCATGGGTTTTAAGAAATTATTTGATTGCAGCCAGCAAGCAAATAGTACTTAAAATGATTGTTTTGCTGCTTTGTAAATATTCTGGATGCTATTCTTTGTACAGGGTTCGGGTGCGACAAGCATTTAATTTAAACCAGAATTTTTTTGTTAATTTTTCAGTTGGAAAATTGAAATTGTAGTTGGAATTCAGCAATTTTTGTTGAATTTTATCCATCCCGTATTTAATAAGGAACCCTGTTTGTCTAGCCCCAGAGTTCATCCAGCACAGTTCAAGGATGTGTAGCTTGCTGATCATTTCCATTTTATAGCACATAACATTTAACATGTGTGTAAATATCGTCCTCTGCTGACCATTAAAAGAATGGCATGCGCAGTAGATACTCATAAATCCCTAGGCTTCATGAAAGCATATCTAGAATTATACACTGTAAATCGAGCCAGATTTTTACACATCATCTGGATTATATACATTTTTAACATAATTTACTTAGAAAGACTTGGTTTTACCAAAAATTCACAACATGGTGAATCCACATTGCTATTATGTTTACTATTGTATCCATGGCAACAGATTGCAGAAGAATGTATTTAAGGCAAATTGGAAGGACAGTTATATAATCCTGAAGATCACATTCATTTTACGTTAATATTATATTCCAAAATATATATTATATGTTTACAAAAACTTTATATCCATTTATATATTGAATTCCAAATACATATACGAGGGGGCAGTAACTGAAAAATGAAAAGGACTGGACACACGTCCCATCTCACCAAGATGCTTCCTCGGATTCTTCATCAGCATTGATGGCTGGTGAGGAAGTCTCTGATGAGATTAGAAATGCATCCAGACTTTCTCTTTTTCTATATGGGGCCCTTCTCAATTGTATTTAGAGATTAATATATACGTGCATATTGATTTTTTTATATGAAGAAATATATATATATTTTTTTAATTTAATGTCTAAACTGCCTTGGGCATGATGTATTTATTGAGTCCACACAGGAGAAGTGCTGGGAAGATCTACTAAACAGGGAATTAGGTATTTCCCCATAATGGTAGATTTTTGTGTTTTTATATTATTTTGTGGAATTTCATGGAAAGTACTCATTTTTTTAAAATGGGGAAGTGGCAAGATTTGTTTAAGTGTATTGAATCTACCAATCAATCCTGATCTGGCTATTGCTATCTGTAAGACCGAGAACTAAAAAAGAAAAGAGGTAATCAGAAAAATAAAATAAGCAACCCCACAATTACACATTTTTAAAAAGAAAAACAAATCTACAATTAATAAAAAAAATAGCATGATATTTAAAGGACCACTCTAGGCACCCAGATCACTTCAGCTTAATGAAGTGGTCTGGGTGCCAGGTCCAGCTAGAATTAACCCATTTTTTTATAAACGTTTTTTTATAAATTGGTTAATCCAGCCCTCAAATCCATTTGTCCATGTGTTTCAATTCCCGCCCTGTCTCTACCATGAGTCAGTCCCACCCCCAGTCCATTTCATGTGTTTCGTTTCCACCCTTCTCTGTTCCATGTGTCAATTCCCCCCCTCCCCACCTCGTCAGTCCCTTCTGTTCAGTGACTGGCAGGAGAGTAGCGCTGTGCTGTGTGCTCCCCTTCTGTGCACCAACCCTGAAGTAATGGCGGTCCGAGGTCACACGGGTCCTAGCTGTGGTTGGACCCTCTAGTAGTTATGCCACTGCTTTCAGGTAAGTTTACGTTTTGCTATCGAAATTTAAGGTGTCCCTATAGGTATACACTGATCAGACACAACATTAAAACAACCTGCCTAATATCATGTAGGTCCCCTCGTGCTAAAACAGCTCTGATGCATTGAGACATGGACTCCACAAGACCTTTGAATGTGTCCTGTGGCACCGAGACATTAGCAGCAGATCCTTTAAGTTCAGCAAGTTGCGAAGTGGAGCCTCCATGGATCGAATTTGTTGTTCCAGCAAATCCTACTAATGCTCATTTGGATGAAGATCTGGGGAGTTTGGGGGCCAAGGCAACACCTTGAAGCTATTTCAAATTTCTTAAACCATTATTGAAAAGTTTTTGCTGTGTTGCAGGGTGCATTATCTTCCTGAAAGAGGTCACTGACATCAGGGAACACCATTGCCATGAAGGGGTGTTTGTGGTCTGCAACAATCTCTAGGTAGAGAGTATGTATCAAAGTAACATCCATATGAATGCCAGGAACCAAGGTTTCACAGCAGAATATTGCTTCTCCAAAATATATATATGAGGAATGCTTTTTGTTCAAAGCTACATATAGGGAAGTCAAGATGAAATAAGAAAGTTTGAGGAAAAAGTTCTTGTATATATAAAGTTTTAAAGATATTTATAATATTATTTTTAGTTTTAGCTAAGCCATTGCATTCCCACCACATATGGTACAATGTTCCTACCATACTATTACATCTCCGGCAGAGATCTGAATAGTTATATTTAAACGTTTTGATTCTATGAGGAATGTGATACCATCGATGCATCATTTAAAAAAAAGTTTCATGGAGGTTAAGACTATGAGTGTTTTGTTTTTTTAACTTGTATAAAAGCCTTCCCCCAATCATCTATTGAGAATGACTTATTCATTTCTACTTCCCATTTATTTAATGATAGAGGCTTTTCTGTATCCTTGATAGATTTTAATAGTTGCGTAGCTCTAAAGATATGTTTGTTTTTAAAATGTTTATTAATGAGGTTTTCATATTCAGGGTGTTCCTTAACACTAAGGAAAACAATTAGATGCCTAATTCTAATATAATTATAGAACTCTTGTTCGGGAAGTCCGAGTTGAGTTCGCAATTCTGCAAAGGATTTGAGTTTCCTTAAAGGAGCTATTTGTGATAAATTATGGATATTACAGTGTCTCAATTTAGTTAAATCAATATCTTGTATATAAACCTGTAAACATCAATAGGTGTAGACAGGAGGAGTTGGTTCGAAATCCCTAATTTATTTCTAAATATGTTTAATGCTGTTATTATATCATTTATATTTGATGATAAAAAAAATTATAATAATTTGAATCAATCCAAGCTAAGTTGAATAAGGATATTCTAGAATTAGATCTTTCTTCCATTGTCTTCCATCCTGGATTTGGAAATATCTGCTTGTCCCATTTTAAAAAATGAGTAAATATTGTAATGTCATGCAATTCCATTATATCTGGGAAATTTATTCAACATTTTAAGACTCTTTTTTTGTGACAATCTTTATTAACATTTTGTATCATCATTTTCATTTTAACACAGTATATCAGTATGATAAAAGTATGGTATAATTGACAAAAGCGTTTAGGCCTCGAATAGCATAGTCACATTTCCATAACCGTGTGCTTATCACTCAATGTAATACCAAACATCTTTCCGCCTCAATGGCGTTTGTGGTCTTTGTTTGCTGTCTCGTGTCCAGTAAATGTGTTGCGTGCGTGGTAGTCTGTGTTTGTCTGCAGGTTTCAGTGGTAGCATTGGTTACGTTAATTCCTGCCTTTGCAGACATGGTGCATATCCCTAACAGGGGGTTGGGTCGTCATCACTTAATATCAGGTACGCATGTACGAACCTTCCCTATCAGTCTTTGTACCAGTGTTGTGTATCACGGCTGCAGTATTATCCAGGTTGAGGGAACGATCAACTGCGAAGAACGTAGAAAGGGGTTAAGGAGGGGGGAAGGTCGAGGAAAGGAGAGAAACACCTGGAGAGGAGAAAAGGTGAGAGGAGAGGGGGAGAAGGTAGAGAATAATCGAGGAGGGTTGTATGTTTGCGGCCACCTCCCTCTGCACCCCTCATCCAACCGCACCCCCCCCAATATACCGTCCGTCATTGGAAGATCTCTATTGGGCTTGCCCACCCATACAGGCCCCAGTGATGTATAAGAGCTAGGGGGCCAGGTTTGTACACACTACTCCGTGCGTCCCCATAGGGCTGCTGTCAAAGACTCCATGTTGTATATTTCATCGACTTTAGCTACCCATTGCTGGAGGGTGGGGACATCAGTCCATTTTCAATGTAATGGCATCAGGGACTTAGCCGCAGTTAGCAGAGGGAGGGTCAGTGATTGTTTGTATTGTTTCAATGACATTGTGGTGTGGTGCAGCAGCATGGTTAGAGGTTGGAATGCTAGGGTGGTGTGATTTCTTGTATTTTAGTATGTATCATCTTCCAGTAGGGGGCAATAGCGGGGCAGGACCACCATATGTGGAGGCCGGACGCCCCTTTCTGTCTGCACCGCCAGCATTCCTGTTAGTTATCTGCGTTCATTCGGTGCAGGACGTCTGGCGTCCGGTACCAGAATGTTAGCAGCTTGTAGCTTAATTCCTAGAACTTAGAGCTAATGGAGCATTTGTGATGGTTAAGATTTTATTCCACTCCTGTTCTGAGAGGGTGACTCCCGTTTCCCTTTCCCATCTACTTGTGTACCCGAGTGTTATTTCTCCTCTGTTGGACATAAGCAGTGTGTACATGGTAGAGATGCCCTTTGAGACTTGTTCCCTCCTGGCGCATAGCGTCTCAAACTGTGTCAGAGTTCTGTGTATCTGTCCTCGTCCAGTTAGGGACCCATAGTATTTTTTCACTTGGTGGTATCGGAACAGCTCTAATGGGGTCGCTGGTCTGTCATGTATCAACGCAGTGATGGGTTGGAGCTGTGTGGGTGTGCACCAATGTTGCAAATGCATCCAGTCTGCTTTCCGGAGTCCCACCAGGTCTCACGCGCTCAGACCCCTGCCAGATCTGGGTTGTTCGTGATTGGGGTAAGTGGGTTGGGTGACGTAATCAGCTGTCGTTGGAAGCGGAGCACACACCAGATGACCATTGTGGCATCTTTCATGGGGTTATTTGTGCGTAGAGAGCTCACTGTCGATTTACCCAGCCAAAGCTCAGATGGGATCTTACCTTCAGCTTGTTGGATCTCTAAGGACACCCATAGCAATATGTAAATAATAATCGAGACAGAGATGAGGGCTTCTTAAAGGAAACACACCATATCAAAGTCGACATTCATTCCTTCGGGCTGTATCGTTTTTAGAGTTTTTAGAGAAGCCCTCCCTCTGCCTCAATTTAAGTGGTCTGAAAACATGCTCCTTTTTGTGCCATCGTGTAACCAGGGTAAAAAAAAATGAGGAATATACAATATATCTAAAATAAAACCGATAAATAAGTAAAATAACAATAAAAATATATGAATTTTACAATAAAAAATACAAAGGTACCAAATATAAGAGATAAAAAGTATTTTTGGGTCATAAAGGTCTTCAAGTGTTCAATAGACGTCTATGGTATGACTTCAAAATTCAGCAGCATATGCAAAAGAAAATATAGGAAACCAATAGTGCAATATTGTAAGTCTATGGACTGTATATATAACACTGAGATAAAAATTGCCAACTCACGTCTATAGAGCTGTAACCAGCTCTAGGTAAAACAGCATACAGTGGTTATTGTTTTTAAACTTAAGAAAAACAGGTCTGACCATGTGATAGAGCCTATCTCTGAGGAGACGATGTTATTTAGAAAATGAACCTTGATGACAAACAGATCAATCCTGGAATATGAGTTATGAAAAAAAAGTAAAATCTTTGTTTCCAGGATTAAACATTCTCCAAATATCATACAGGAAATTTTTCATTAAAAGATGCTGACGGGATTTGGCAGTTTGTTTTTCAATTGTGGGTCCTTGGACATATTGGCCATATAACTATAGTTTAATGTCATGTACACAATTAAAATACCCTCCTAGAATCAGTAAACCCTGTGTTATTTGATCTATTCTATTAATAATTTTCCAAAGAAATCTAATTGGAGACTGATTAGGATTGTAAATGTTTACTAATGTGTAAATTATGTCGTTGATCTTACATATCAATATAATATATCTGCCATTTTCATCTGTCTCCTCAAAGATAGGCCCAAATTTGATCTTATTGGAAATTATTATTGGCACCCCCTTTTTTATTTATTTTTAAAATTGGATTGATATATCCAAGGAAAAAGCGAGAACTTCCAGAGTTTCTTTGCAGGCTCAATCCAGTGAGTTTCCTGGACTTATGCCACATCAATGTGTTTTTGGCATAAAGTGTGATACATTTGGCCTTTTTTTTTAGGGATATTGAGACCCTGAGCATTGACTGAAACTAAATTAAGTGTCATTTATACTTCTCCTTTCCTTCGTTTACCCATCCGATCATTAGTATATTCACGTTCCAGGACCCGGAAAGACAATAAAAAATAAAAATAAACTACATTTAACACATTCATTCTCCATACATACGTAAAGCAAATTTTTCAGTTGACCGGAAATATCATTCCTGATCAGACCTAATATCACCTTAGGTCACATTCATGGCGTGCTGGCGTACTGGAGTAAAAATTCTTCAGTTAACTATATGATAAATTCCATTACAATCGTTGAACTCTCTCCTCTCCCTGCCTTTATTGTTCCTCCTTACATCTCTCCCCTTCCTTGCTCCCTCTGCTGTCTATCCAACAGTAGAACAGTAGGCATACATGGCTACAAAAATGTTGAGATACGATACTACAAACTGCAAAGATCTACTGAGTTCAGAGTGCTCCTTCTTTAAATTCTGTCATTTTTTTGGACTGTCCCCACAACCATCAACACTATGAGGAATGCGCTCAGCCACTGTGGGTCCCCAAACACTGCCTGGGATATGGGATACTGTACTTTTTATAAATAAGGAAAAGAACTCAAACCTTTAAATGTGTTTTAAAATGCCCAACCAAGAGTTTTAATATTATATTACCAACATTTCAATTAAGGTAATTGTTGAATATAAAAAGGGTATAAATCGGATGATCATATAATAAGATGAATAGCCAAAGGAGAGCTGATAGCCCTGTGAAAAATATATAGTGGCGAAACCTGTTAGCTTTCATTAGCTGCGTCAAGCAAATTAAATATTTATTGAAGCATCATCATCCTCCTTCAATCCATGGAGATCCGGGGAACCCACCCAAACTATTCCTGGTCTGAGATGGTTTAAAATCCCAAGAAGAATTTAAGGGGTGGCATTTCACTTTATATGACCCAAAATAATCTTTCAGCAACGGTTGGTATACATGACAGTTGTGCCAGTGTTTGGTATATTTAGCATTACAAACATTTGTGCATTTACAGAGCACATTATAATGCATCACGCAACTGAGAGTGTAGAAGCATCTTAATTAGGCTATAACCATACAAGATGTAACTATTTATGACCTGTCAGTTGCACTGCTGAGAATGTCACAAAGTATCATGACTCGGCCTGGTTTCGGCTGTCTCTACTCTTGTCCAATGTATTTGTAACTTTGAATTCCTAGTCAATAAAAGGGCCATTACAGACCTGAGGCAGGAATGTTCAATTGTTTTTAAGGTTTGTTGTTTTTTACTGAGGCCTTTGCAGATGTTTTGATTATTTAAGCAATGAAAAATTATAACTACTGTTCATTTCCCAGAGTTTATGGAAGGAGCAGAATTTTCTATTATTTTTTTTGAAAATTCTTTATTTTTCACAAAAAGAAGTGCATATGTGTGACAATGTATAGGCTTACGCAGAAGCCACAGTACGTTTTCAGATGATTCAGGTATACAGAAGGGAAGAGTGATACGTTAAGACAAGTTGCATGCTTACTAACACCCAGGGGCGTACATAGAGCATTTGGCACCCGGGGCGGATCCTGTGCTTGGCACCCCCTTGCCCCCTCCCTGCCCCCCCCCCCAAAAAAAAACCTGTAAAAAATGTTAAAGGTTTTCTTTCTTTTTTTTTACAATTTGTAAACTTTGCAAAACTGCTGTCAGCCCCTCCTACAAAACCCTTGTCCTGCCCCGCCCCTCCTACAAAACCTCTGTCCTGCCCCTTCTACAAATCCTGTCCTGCCCCTTCTACAAAATCCCTGCAGCCCCACACACACATTTACAGGCAGACAGTCACACACTCAGTTACAGGCAGACTGTCACACACTCAGTTACATGCACACAGACACACATGCAGTCACAGACAGTCATATATACATTGACACACAAACATGACAGCAGCAGACAGTCACATGCACACAGTCACAGACAGTCACACACAGTTACAGGCAGACAGTTACACACAGACAGTCTCACACACACACACACACACACACACACACACACACAGACAGACACTCTTACTTACAGACAGTGGGATGGAGGAGGACTGGATTCCCTGAAGTCCTTCTCTGAAGCCTGTGGAGAAGCAGAGATTTCATCTTGCTGCACCTCCTAACAGCTGTGGGTAAGGGCCATATTAAGTCCCGCCTCCAGTGCCAGTTTTGCTCCACCCCACTTTTCCTCTGTGCGGCCAGTTTATCAGCTGTTTGCTTGTGTGAGCTATACTGGCCGCATGGTACCCAGTGGCGTACATACCAGGGTCGCGGGCCCGGCCGCCCCTGCGACCCGGTATGTAGCCATAGGGCCAGCCTCTTCCCCTGGGGGGCCCATGAGCTGACCACCCCAGGGCCCCCCGAGGCTGGCCCTGCTGTCACCGGGTGGCCGGTCGGGCAGGCAGGCGGGCGCGCGAGGGAGCACTCAGTGCTTCCTCTTCAGCTCCCTCGCGCACCGCACTGATACCGGAGCCGGAAGATGACATCATCTTCCGGCGCCGGCATCCCTACGCGGCGCGCAAGGGAGCTGAAGAGGAAGCACTGAGTGCTCCCTCGCGCGCCCGCCTGCCTGCCCGACCGGCCACCCGCACAGGAGCCCAGCAGCACCACTGGACCCCAGGGAATCCCCCCAGCACTCCAAAAGGTAAGGAGGCTGGGGGGATTACATTTAAAAAAAATACAAAAAAAAACGTGTTAGTGTTTGAGTGTGTGTGAGTGTTAGAGTGAATGGTAGTGTTAGAGTGAGTGTTAGTGTGAGTGTTAGAGTGAGTGTGAGTGTTAGAGTGAGTGTTAGTGTGTGTGTCTTACTGAGTTTGTTTGATGTCTGTTAGTGAGTGTGTGTTTGTCAATGAGAGTGTATGTTTTGTAAGTGAGTGTGTATGTATGTCTGTCGCTGAGTATGTCTCTGTCAGTAAATGTGTGTGTCTGTTAGCTAGTGTGTATGCGTGTGTTCGTGAGAGTGTGTGTGTGTGTGTGTCTATTAGCTAGTGTGTATGCGTCTGTTCATGAGAGTGTGTGTGTGTGTGTCTTCAGCACTTACCTTTCTCCAGCGCCGGACTCCCTTGGCACTGGGGATCCCTCTGCCTCTCAGCTCCGAATGAGACCGCGCACGCATTCAAACCGCCCATAGGAAAGCATTACTCAATGCTTTCCTATGGACGTTCAGTGTGCTCCTCTAGCGGCTGTCAGTGAGACAGCCACTAGAGGCTGGATTAACTCTCAGTGAAACATAGCAGTTTCTCTGAAACTGCTATGTTTTCAGCTGCAGGGTTAAAACTAGAGGGACCTGACACCCAGACAACTTCATTGAGCTGATGTGATCTGGGTGTCTGTAGTGGTCCTTGAAAGGACCACTATAGTGCCAGGAAAACATACTCGTTTTCCTGGCACTATAGTACCCTGAGGGTGCCCCCACCCTGAGGGACCCCCTCCCGCCCGGCTCTGGAAAGGGGAAAAGGGGTAAAACTTACCTTTTTCCAGCGCTGTGCAGATAGCTCTCCTCCTCCGATCCTCCTCTTCTCCTCCCTGTCGGCTGTATGCGCACGCGCGGCAAGAGCTGCGCGCGCATTCAGCCGGTCACATAGGAAAGCATTCATAATGCTTTCCTATGGACGCTGGCGTGCTCTCACTGTGAAAATCACAGTGAGAAGCACGCAAGCGCCTCTAGTGGCTGTCAATGAGACAGCCACTAGAGGAAATAGGGGAAGGCTTAACCCATTCATAAACATAGCAGTTTCTCTGAAACTGCTATGTTTATGAAAAAATGGGTTAACCCTAGCTGGACCTGGCACCCAGACCACTTCATTAAGCTGAAGTGGTCTGGGTGCCTAGAGTGGTCCTTTAAGTGTGTGTGCATCTGCATGCACTGTACATACCCTGTGCGGGGTCGCAGCCCTGTAACCCCTGCACGACCAGGTGCCCACCGCCATGTGTGTTGCTGACCCGGCCAGCAGCGCCCGGAGACCACTGCGGATCAATTTTCGCACCGGGGCCCCATGGGTCATGTGTACGCCACTGATGGTACCCTAACTATCATGGGGCACTGTGCGGCCACAGCTTACACAGCCCCCTCCAGCCAGGGCCGGTGCAAGGATCTTTGCTGCCATAGGCAAAAGTAAAGTTTGCCGCCCCCCCCCATGTGACATCACAATGCCCCACCCATATGATCTGCCATGTTAACTAACGCCAGTGCTGCAGTGCCGCCGTGTTTACATTAAAAGGCCTGCAGAGACAGGCTATAGACACCAGAACCGCTACATTAAGCTGCAGTGGTTCTGGGGACTATAGTGTTTCTTTAATGTGAGGTAAATTAGAGCTTAGTGCCACTAATAATATACTAGATTGCCTACTTACAACCAGATGAGGATGATGATGGGCTCTAGCTGCAGTCTGGCTCCACTGGTCTGGTCTGGAGGCGGTTTGTAGCTGTGGTCACAAAAATCAATGTTCTGGGAGAACGGGAAGCAGCTCCATTTTTTGGGGGCCCTTTACACAGCTCAAGGTCTGGGTCCCAGGGTCCACCTTAATGTTCCACCAATGAGTTTGTTCACAGAGGGTGGAGTGTGTAGGGGATGTCCTGATATGTGTGTAAGGAATGCATTGTGTGAATCTGTGTTTGTATGTGTAAGGGCTGCAAGGTGTGTTTCTGTGTATGTACGGGATGCAGTGTGTGCGTCTGTAAGGGATGCATTGAGTGTGTGTAAGGGGTGCATTGAGTGTGTGTAATGAATGCATTGTGCGTTTCTGTGTGTGTAAGGGATGCATTGTGTGTAACGGTTGCATTGCTTGTGTATGTGTGTCTGTGTGTGTAATGCATTGTGTGTTTTTCTGTGTGCAAGTGGTGCATTGTGTGTGATGAATGTCAATCTCTCCCCCCACCTTCAATTTCCTTCTCTCCCCCCCTCCAATTTCCTTCTCTCCCCCCTCCAATTTATTTCTTTCCCCCCTCGCAATTTCTTTCTTGCCCCCTCCCAATTTCTTTCTTTATCCCCCCTCCCAATTTCTTTCTTTATCCCCCCAATCTTTCTTTATCCCCCTCACAATTTCTTTCTTTATCCCTTTTCTTTTTTCCCCCAATCTTTCTTCTTATCCCTCCCAAATCTTTCTTTATCACTATCCCTCTTTCTCTATCCCCCTACTTCTTTCTTTATCTCCCCAATTTCTTTAAAACCCCTTCTCCCAATTCTCTTTATCCCCCACCACTGTTGTAGCGGGTTTGTGCTCTTATGGTCCGCGGGTAAAGGGAGCTTTTGTTTCCTGTACCCGGCCGGACTAACAGGAAGTGCACACTCAGTGTGTACTTCCTGTTAGTCCGGCCGGGTACAGGAGACAGATGCTCCCTGTACCCGCGGACCATACAGAGCTCGGCCACGCTACAGTGAGGGAGTGACAGGAGGGAGCCCTGAGCGCTGAGCATTTCCCTCCTGTCAGCCCCTCTCCTCAGGCTGCGCCCGAGCAGTGCGGTGTGCACTCATGGACGCACCAGCCCTGGCAAAGCTGCAGCCACCTGAGGCTCTCTGCAGAGGGCTCGGGCAGCTGCAGCATAAGGGTCATGGCACCCCCCACCCTGGTGGCACCCGGGGCGGACAGCCCCCTCCGCCTTCCCCTTAGTACGCCACTGCCTTTTTGTATATAAAAATCACAGATTTTTTTGTGGATGGTCCTACTAATGCAGAGAATTGCCACCAGTGACAATCTGGTTATGAGCTTTGTTTAATCTCATCCAGTAGTCACTTGTCTCATCTCCTGGGGCATCATGCATGCTCGTCATATTCTGACAGCTTGGCAAGCACCATATACACTATAGTCTCCTGGGAACTATCCCAATGTGCAAGCCCAGACCTGGAGGACAGTGAAATTGCAGGCCACCAGTTCATACAGCAACCTTCACAATGGTGAGCTAGCAAAAGCTCTGCACAAAATCCTTCCTGCCATCTCACTCCTGTAGTATCCAGTCTACAAAAATGCCAAAGTGCTGTCTATTTTTTTATTCAGCAGAAGAAAAATGTGAAGTCACATCCCCTAGTCACCCTTGTCAGCCTCCAATGCCGAGAACATTAGAATAAGTTGAAAATGCTATAGTGAAAAACAACAAAAGAAAAACCCACAGCTCAGACCTACAATATTGATCTCCTTCATCACTGCACAGTCAGGAAAGAGCTAACATTTTTATAACATTACTGTGGTTCTTTGTGGACACTGGACAGGGGAACTCTGTGTAAATCACTGTCTGTTTCATAGATGGTTAGGTCAGTGGTGTATCCTGGTTTTGTGCTGCCCTAGGCATACACACACTCACAGTAACAGACACACACTCACACTAACATTTCCACACAATAACAGACACACATACACACTAACAGACACACACTCACACTAACAGACACACACACACACACACACTAACAGGCACACACACACACACAGAAACACACTAACATACACACACACACACTAACAGACACACACGCTAAAAGACACACACACACTAACAGACATACACACTAACAGACAGACACACACACACTAACATACACACACACACAGACACACACTAACAGACACACACACACACACACACTAACAGACACACACACACTAACACATACAGACACACACTCACACTAACAGACAGATTTACACACTAACAGACACACACATACACACTAACAGACACACACTCACACTAACAGACACACACAGACACACACACACACTAACAGGCACACAGAGACACACAGACACTACACACACACACAGACACACACTAACATACACACACACACACACACACACACAGACACACACTAACAGACACACACACACTAACAGACAGACACACTAACAGAGAGACACAGACACACACACTAACATACACACACACAGACACAGGCACACACTAACAGACACACACACACTAACGGACACACACACACTAACAGACACACACACACACTGACACACACACACAGACACACACACTAACAGACACACACACACTAACAGACAGACCCACTAACACACACTAACATACACACACTTTTTCTTTTAAAAATTCACCCCCCCCCCAGCCTCCTTACCTTTGGGAATGCTGGGGTGGGTTCTCCTTTTCCCTGGGGGTCCAGTGGCTGCTGGGCGGGCGGCGTTGGCGTCATATTCCAGCTCCCAGTCTCACTCTGCGGGCGGCGCACAGAGTGAGGCTGGGAGCCGGAATATGACGTCATATTCCGGCTCCTAGCCTCACTCTGTGGCGTGCGAGGGAGCTCAGCAGGACGCTCAGGGAAAGTGCTCCCTTTCCAGCGCTGCCCAACCGATCAGCAGCCAGCCTGGATTGTCAGTTAGCCGCAATGCTAACAGGACATTTGCCCTGGGCATTTGGGGGCGGCTTTTTTTGCTGCCCCCCTGGAAAGTGCCGTACAAGGCAAATGCCTTGTTTGCCTCACGGCTAATACGTCCGTGGGTTAGGTTCAATTCAAATACAGCCAAGAACCAGGTAAACAGTAACTACAGTTACGCAATCTTACAAACTACAGAAACACAAGAAACAAACAGCAAGACTAGGCAGGGCTGTGTATCAGTCAAAAAGAAGATATGTGAATTAGAAGAGTGGAAATATTAATGTAGGCACCAACATGTCAGGTCAATAACAATGTTAGTAGGAAAATTATTACTGTTACTAAGAACTCTGGAAGGTACAAATGTGACATGGGTCAGCAGGCTGGATAGTACCACAGTATTTCAGCCAAAGCTCCCAGTCATACACACGCAGATCAACAAGGAAAATAATCAACTGTTTCATCAAGCTTACAATTTTATCGACATGTTGGAAAACTGTCAAGAGCAGTAGAGCGAGAAAAACTCTCCAAAACATTCCTCTAGGAAGGTGCAGTAGCTATGGGCAGTCCACACAATGTTGTCCTGGGAGACAAATTTGTCATTCATTAACCCGTTCACTACCAAGCAGTTTGCAGAGAACTCACCCTGGAAATCCAAGTATTATGGGTGTCCTGGAAAGAAAATGTTTAAATGTATTCTTCTTTTCAGTACGCCTAGATAGCACATTCGTTAATAGAAACAAAAGGAAAAAATGTGTGTGGAGAACTTTTAGAAAATCATTTACCACTTAATCAGTTTACAAATAAGAAAACAGAGTTGTAAATAAATACAATTTCTCAATCTTAATTCCATATAATCCCCTCAACCATACATTGTACAATATAAACTCAGTTCTCAGTTCTATGTGTGCACCGAGGCCTACAATAACGTTTCAGCAGGTCAGTCATGGTCTGCCGAAACCGACGAACAGAGTAGGCGTGAAAATAAATAAAAGAGAAATCAAGGAGGAGGGTAGACAGAGGCTGGTAAAAAAAAAAAAAATCTATTTTCGGGGTCAAAGGCTGAGGCATACAATAGCCACCGCCATGTGCAGCTAGGCTATAATGACTTTTAAAGCCTAGCTGTACAAGACGGTTTTGAGTAGGGAAAGCTCCATGTTCATTCAATAACAACAACCACAATGTGCATCTAGGATTTACAAGTATTTTTATTTTTTTGCTTCTATGTGCTTTCCCTAACCCCTACCACCCCATGTGCAGCAATGCTTTAATTAGTTTTTCCTCCATGTGTTTTTGCAACACTCCCCCTCACTACCATGGGTGGGTAGGTTTTAATTATAATTTTAAAGCCGAGCTGCACATGGTGGTGGTAATGGGTAAGGAAAGTGCATGGAAGAAAATTAATAATTTGTTTCTCCCATGTGCATTCACTAGCCACCATCACCATGTGCATCTATGTTTTACAAGTAATTTTTCATTGGTGGAAATAAGTGTGCATGGGGGAGGAAGTGATGTGACAGCATGAGTGTGGGGGAATCATATTGTATATAGGGAGGCTATATTTCTCTCTTCAGCCTCCCTACACAGTGCTCATTTTATTATAATTATTTTTAGCTGAGGCCCCCTCCTGCTTACCTTTTTGCAGTGAGTGGGGCTCTGATCCCTATTCCCTTGTGGTCTTGTGGATCCTTCTTCCTGGGTGAGCCAATGGATCCAGTATCCTGGGTTCGCCTGGCAGGCTGCCCCTCAGAATGCCCCCTTCCGGTGTCTCAGCCAGAGGGCATCCTGCACAGTGAGCAGCGCAGCACCATACAGAGAGATCTCTAGATCTCTGTACCAGCCTGTGCAGAATGGGGGGCTTTGTGGGAGCTCAGGAGAGGTAGCCCTAGAAAGGTAGTGCCAGCTCTGCTATTGGCACAATCATTGCAAATTAAAAAAAATGTAAATTAACAAATTTAATTTGCAATGAATTTAATTCTGTATACACAAATGCAGGGTATGGGGTGCAGACCTTGGTGATCGTGTATACTCGAGTGGCAACGTGAAGGGGTTAAGAGGAAGATAACTATTCCATGACATACACACATATATTCCCTCAATACAAGGTTGAGAGTCATGTATTTTTTACTACACTTTGAGGATACAGCCCTGGCGTCTCTGGCACTGAAGGTGTACCAGTTCAGGAACACTACAGTCCGTGGGTTTTTATGACCTAACCTGTACCACTAACTGCTCTACTAAATGCTACGACTCAGTTTTGGAAGCATATCCACAGACAATGCAGAATATACTTCACTGGTATCTGGTTACTATAAAATATTCTATCTAGATAGTCCTCTGGCAATACTCTATGAGTAACTACTCTGTAGATGACAATAAATAGCAATATACCTGTGAGGCCTCAAGGAAGAGACAAACAGGCTTCTTATTGGTAACTCAAAGAACTCAGACAGTTTATTGTAGAAAGAACCAGCATATACAGTATAGAGCACCGCATACAGTAAAACATTGTACATCAATTTAAACCAATGGGAATAAATAGTATACAGAGGAAAGAACTGGTTACACAGTGATTCATTTCACTAGTTCTTTCCCATTTTGTGCAAGTCCACCATGACAACAAAAGGTTATCTTGATCAGCCATGTAGATATCTGGACACACTGTAATTCAGAGCAATCTCTGATTACATTAACACAGTCTTTTGCTGTAGTTAATTGGTAGGAAACCCTTTAATAGTACTGTGCCAAAACAACATCTGGTGGGCCGGTTCAATCAGTTTTTTTTTTTAAATTAAGGAGTGTATGTTGCTTTTGTTATTTATAGGTTCTCCAGTTGTTTTGTAACAGTGCATTTGTGCGTATATGGGCTGTTATATTGGATATGTTCCTGAGTAGTTTGTGGTATTGTGTATGACACCTATTAATGTGTGCTGTTTATGGGGGCTGCTTGTGGAATTGTGTGTGGATGATATGTCACATTGTGTGTTTAGTGGTGTCTGTATGTGTGGGGCTGCTTGTGGCATTGCATGTGAGAGGTTGCTTGTGGGGTTGTCTGCGTGTATGTGGATTGTCAGTGGTGTTTGTGAGGACTGTGTGTATTTGTGTGTGTCCTATTTATATTATTTGTGTGAGCGGGAGTATTCTCCTGCAGCTTTGTATTCTTCTGCAGCTTTTATATCTAAGAGTGTGGGTGGCTTCCCTGAGGCCCAGTGTGGACTTAGCTAGCCAGGTTTAGGTCAAGGGAGGGGAACTGTGATAGCTGCTGTGGGTTCCTCTACTCCAGTGTGGATTCCCATTTACAAGTGTGAGGAGAAAGTGATCTGAGACCACTTCCTCTAAGTGGTGTAATGCGTAAATCCATTCTCCTGACAAAAAATGAGGTGCTTCTGAAACGGTACTGCGTACTTGCGGCTTGCAGAAAACAAACCAGAGGGATCAGGCCATCCATCAAATACACGGTTAAAAAAAAGTAACCTTATTGAATTTAGTTCCACAGAAGGTGTAATTCCAAAGATTGCTTCCTGCCATTTCAATCACAGGATCTCCCCTGCCGGCCCATGCAGGGTAGCACAGCCATAAGAGGGCTGAAGGAAAGATTTGTGCATTTGTGCGTGCCTGGCATCCTGCCTGTCTCCCTCTCGCAAGCTCCCATAATATCAGAACCTTGCCATGGTAACCCAGGGCAACGCTCGGTAATACCGACGCTAACGAGATGGAGAAGCATGGTCTGACGGTACAGACCAAGTAACCGGACCACCGTCCTCAGCATGCCTCCCTGTACCCCGGCAAGGTAATATATTTTAATGATTCAATTAATCAAGCAGCCATCTTATCCCCTATTAACCCAGTACACCCCCTGCCATCATGCCCCCTATCAACCCATCAAGCCACTACACCCCCTGCCACTTTGCCCCCTATTAACCCACTACACCCACTGCCACCCCCTATTAACCCACTACACCCCCTGCCATCTTTCCCCCAATCAACCCACTACATCCCCTGCTATTTTGCCCCCTACTAACCCACTACATCCCATGCCATTATTCCCCCACTGCATCCACTGCCATCTTGCTCCCTATTAACCAGCTACACCCCCTGCCATCTTAACAACTATTAGCCCTCTACATCTCTTACCCATAACGCCATATTAACCCACTACAACTCCTCCCCATAACCCCTGCACCCCCTGCCATCTTGCCCCCTATTAACGCACTACACCACCTGCCATCTATTAACCCACTACACCCCCTGCCATCATTCTCCTATTAACCCACTACACCCCCTGCCATCTTAACACCTATTAACCCTCTACATCTCCTACCCATAACCCCATATTAACCCACTACACCTCCTCCCCATAACCCCCTATGCCCCTGCCATCTTGCCCCTTATTAACGCACTACACCCCCTGCCATCATACCCCTAATTGACACACTGCACTCCATGCACTTACATACAACACACTCTCTATACCCCTTATATACACCCCCTGGACTCAGACACACACACTCTCTATAACCCTTATACAACACCACTCATCCTTCACTCACATTCACACAGTACACAAACTCTATACACCCTAAACATACACTACACTCTCTGCACTCATACACTCTATACTCCCTATAAACACACACTACACACCCTGCACTCACCCACTTCCTACTCTATATTCCTTATACACACCACACCCCCATGCATTCACACACACACACACTCTATACACACACTACTCTATATACGCATACACACACAATTAACACACCCCTTTTTGGCCCCGCCCCTCGCAATAGGCTGCTCTGCCATTAACTACCTGGGCTCAATTTTTGTCCCAGTCTGGCCCTGCACAGAACCATAAGCACATAAACACACACCGCACCTCCCACGTGTCACTATTTTGAGCCCAAATCCTTCTGTCCCTTTTTTATCCTAATGTCCCTTTTTGGTAGGAGCACATTGTTGTGTCTGATTGTATAAGAGAGCTCCACAGCAGACTACAATAAATGTGTTTAGAAATCAGTCTGTGTAAATAAGATACACTGTTCTTGTTCTAAATAAATTATATTATAGTTACAAAAATCGTTATTAATAAGTTACTAAGAATTTCTCAGAACAGCTCTGGCCACATCCACAATCGCACCCTTAAAATAATACTGTCCCTCTTTGTACATTCAAAATTTTGAGAGGCATGCAATAACACTTGGTTATTTGTTAGTATAACACCAGGACATACATGTCCAGACTTGCCCAGGACTACTGATAGTGATATGACTTGGCAGCCAGTGGAGAGATGCTACAAAGAGAGAGACACAGCTTCATTCATTCTTTGCCCCTCATACAATACATGAAAAACAGAAGGGGAACAACACCAATCGTGGCATCCAAAAATAGCATCTGCCCCTGCCATTCATCCTTTCCCTAGAACCACTTGCTGCCAAAATTAGAGCCCATCCAGATATACATGGCATAGAAGTGGATGATACCCGATATTGTCTATCGATGTTTGAAGATTACATTCTTCTCTCTTTAGACAAGCCAACAGTATCAGTACCAGCGGTACTACATCTGTTCCAAGAATATGGCTCACTTTCCTACTACAAATTAAATCAGTCAAAGATCCAAGCTCTGTCGATTGGTCTGAATGCTACAGTCATTAGCCATCTCACCCATTCATACGAATTTGATTGGAGAAAGTCTAGCATAATGTAGTTAAGCGTCAAATTAGTCCTCTCACTTGAAACCATATATAACTTGAATTACAAAACAGGATTTCGAGGATTTCAAGGATTTCTCGAAAAAGAGGTCGGTCAGGCTTTCCTGGCTGGGCAGGGTTAACACCACCAAAATGGTAATATTGCCTAAAATCTTGTCCGAATGTTGCCTATCTGCATGCCTCCTTCCTTGTGCAGACAATTGCAGAACATTATCAACAAATTTATCTCGGACTGCCATAAATCTCGGATCCCGATGTCCCTCCTTCAGAAATACCCCACCTTCAAAACTACTACAAAGCGTCAATTCTGGAGGCAGCAGTCAAGATGCACAACCCCAAAAATACTCTTCAATGGGTAGACATGGAGAGAAGAAGGGCAGCGGAGGGAGCGCTGGGGGACCTGTCATGGACCCCACTAACAGCTCTTCCCCTGTACATTACTGTCTTTGCATTATAATCATAATAGAGATGTGGAACTGCACTCAAACCCATGGAATATGTATCCGGGTGCAACCAGGCCAGTCCCAGTACCAGGGATCAAATAATTGATAAAGAAACATAGAAAAAAGGTCCAGGCACTCCAGGATACAAAACGGCAAATTTATTGAACCCACTGCCACTCAGAACATTTCGACCTACATGATCTTTGTCAAGCTGTCTTTGCATTATAGGGATCAACTCCGCAAAAAGCAAGGAGATTACCACAACTGTCACATGCGACCTCCAGTGACGGCGCTTAAAGTTCTTTCACCCTGGTTACCTCTGCAGTCTTGGTGCCAACTAGGGGTGAAATGCATTGGGAAACTGTGCAAGGGTGGAGCCATTAGGGCTTTCCCAGAACTCCAGGAAGCTTACAAACTACCGAACTCATTTATCTTTCACTACTTACAAATGAAAAGCATCATCTCTGCACATGTGCAGCCTGGAGCAATCACCCCTATGGGACACAGTGAGGGACCTGATCACTGATGAGCTGGTGACCATGATAACCCGCTTGCTCCTTCTCTTTCCACACCGTTTACACAAAAATCTCAAACAGCTGACAGCACTCATTATGCTAGCTGCCAGAAACTTTAGATAGCGGTCAACTGGAAAACACCAACATGCCCTTCAAACCTTTAACTCCTACAAAAAAATACAGCTTTATTATGTATATGGACGAATGTCGCTAAACTACCCTGTGCAATTTAAACCTTTTTATACGCCGCAATGAGGGGGCGTCCCCTCGCAGGGTTACAGGGAACCAGTAATGAGGGTTTGGTGAGATTCAAACACATAGGAGCATAAACAAGGGACATAACTGCATACTCAGGCAAAAAAAAAAAAAACCCTCTTAATAAATTGACCACAGACTAACTTTAGTGGATGGACATACATAAAATTGTGGTTGAGTCTAGTTCTTCCCCTCCCGATTTCTTTACTGTACCTCCTTCCCTTTTCTCTTTTACTTGTTCCTCATTGCAGGATGCATGCTTTGGTCACTTCATACAAAATTACAGTATATCTCAGTTTGGTAATACGTGTCCCTCCTTCCAATATAGTGATTGTTTGTGTATTCCTCAGTAACTGCTCAAATTATAAAATTGTCCGCTATCACTCATTGTACCTTTACGCACAAGGTTCTTACACTTATCGATTGTATTAAAGTATGCATACCTGTGATACTGTTCATTCTATTTGAAAATCAATAAAAACTTTATGACAAAAAAATAGCGTCTGCTGACCAGGGCTGACCAAGACTCATATGTTCTAGTCAGCTGAAGATTAGTGCCCCTGCCACCATTTTATGGACAGCAGCTGAATTAATAGTAATTCCCACTATTATCAGCCAGCACCGGGGTATTGTGGAAAATGGATGGTAGATTATTAATATGAGAGACGAATAAAAGAGCTTAGCAAAAACATTAGACATGTGCAATTCATTTCGGTCCGAATATGAATTCGGACGAATTTCGGGCAATTCAGACATTCGGGTACCTCCGAATGTCCGAATTGCAGAATTGCCGAGGTCCCGAAGTTCCAAAATTACCGAATTTCCGAAGTGCCGAATTTCCAAAGTGCCGAAGTTCCGAAGTTGCCGAAGTTCCGAAGTGTGAAAGTGCCGAAGTTCCGAAGCACAGTATTGCCTAAGTACTAATATACTTACCCAGTGGAAGAAGAAGAATGTTACACTGTATACAATTTTAAATAAAAAGTATACAAACATAGCCAGGATTCAGCTGTAAGCATTTGCAACACTTACAACAATCAAGTAACATACATTCATATAAAATGTAAATGTACTTAGCCAGTCAGTGTAATGACAGGAATGAATAAATAGATAACTCTCTAATTCCCACGGTATTAGGGAGCTATCTACTAAAAGGCTGAAAGACCTGAATTGGTCTTGCAGCCACATTTACTAATACTAAGTAAAGATTACTTAGTATTAGTAAATTATGCCCCTACTCGCTATACCGCGAGTAGGGGCACGTCTATTAAACAGTGAGCAGCCTGTGGCCCCACCCCTAAGCAGTGGGTGGGGGCCCTAAATACTAATAGGGGGGACCTAACGTCCTCCCTCCTGGCCCCCACCCCTGAGCGGTGGATGGGGGCCCTAAATACTAATAAGGGGGGGACCTAATGTCCTCCCCCTGGCCCCCACCCCTGAGCGGCGGGGGAGGGAGCCCTAAATTGGAATAAGGGGGGGTGACCTAATGTCCTCCCCCCTGGCCCCCACCCCTGAGTGGTGGGTGGGGGCCCTAAATACTAATAAGGGGGGAGCCTAATGTCCTCTCCCCTGGCCCCCACCCCTGAGCGGCGGGTGGGGGCCCTAAATACCAATAGTGGGGGGGGACCTATTGTCCTCCCCCCAGGCCCTCACCCCTGAGCGGCGGGTGGGGGCCCTAAAAATTTTTTTTACCCCCCCCCCAGGTGACTAGAGGTCCCCACTATAGGGACAGGAATACATGTTTGTGTTCCTGACCCTATAGTTATCCTTTAAATTGTGCTGACAAGTATGGTCTTGTGACTGGATTCATCTGTGGATATGAAACCAAACTTACTCAGATAAGACCAGGTCAAACTCCCTGTTCTTTCCTCATCTCCGTTTTCAGGGGATTAAAAAGGGATTGAATAGGTAACCTAGTTAGATCAGGTTGGAGTTTTTCGCAACCCTTGGTAAGCCACACTAACAATTCCACCATTGTTTTTAACCCTGACAGCAAATGGCACTTAATACAAACTTTTGGACTCATTCCATCACCAAATCCTGTAACCCTTCCATTCCCGATAAGTAACGCAACACCATGTTAAGTGGGTAAGGGCAACGGCACCGGCTTTATTTAAACCAGCACAACCAAATATTGTCAGCTGCTGGTTTTACCCAGCAGACAGGTACACTTTAAACTTCCAGAACTTCTTCAGCCTGTCCTTCGTCATCAACCAAATTCAAGCTGCGACTCCCCAGGCCTGTCCGAGCATTATTCATTTACCAGGCTTGCTGGCGCAGGAAAGCCCCAGCTGTGACAAAATTAAAAACAGAGAAAACACAACACAAAACAACAATTCCAGAATAGAACCATTGGGGAGGGAGGGTGGGTGGGAAAAGACACTGCCAGGCTCTCTCAGCATTGTTCACCAGTAGTCTGGTAATTTTTCCCAGAATTCCATGCTTTCAACTGTAAAACCAACTGTATCCTTTTGGTTGCTATGCCAACCCCTCAGGGCAGCAGTCATGCTCCCCCCCTCCCTATTCGCTCAAAGGGTTGGCCTTTCTACAGCTGGATGGGAGTCCGGGGTGGGGATATTCTAAGTACACTTAAATGGATACTGTATTTTTTTATTACTGGTATTTAAAAGGCGCCAACAGATTCCGCAGCGCTGTACAATTAATGGGGGACTTACAATATACACAGACAAATTCAAAAGGTAGAGAGGACCCTGCCCATAAGCTGATTTTGAGCCAAATAAGCTCTTTTATACAAAGTGCTTAGCTAGATAGCCTGTGAGCTTACTGTAGGCACTATAACAATTTCATCTCTATAACCATTTCAGCTGATTTAATTTGTTATGGTGCCTGGCCACCCACACCACAGCCCACCTTTGGAGGTATGACTAAGGCAGAGATTACACACTTTCTGATAGTCATACCAGTTTATACCAGTACTGGGCGCTGTCATAGGCTGACAGTCTCAGCCAATCACTGGTACCAATTTATGTTCACTAGCCCAAGCAGCACAGAGAGGATAGGCTGCTGGGCACTCTCTTGTAGCATTAAAACTTTAACGTTGAATGAAAGAATGTCAACAGGGGACTGCAGACACTATAACCACTTCAATTAAATGTAGCAACTACAGTGGCTGCAGTATTCCTTTAAGGGACTGATCCTTTGAAGGTGACGTTGAAGCTGGCAATCTCCTGCTCTACACAGATAATTGGTATAATCTGACTTATAAGCATAATGTCCCCAAATAGAGGTTGTTTTTACATTCTGGTGGCATTTTTAGGAAGCTGGATTTCAAAAAATACCATCACATTTCTTACAAATATCCACAAGCAGGGTTTTAAACCGTTTTCATTAGGATACTTTTGGCTTGCCTACCATATGTGACAAAAATTATATTTCTGCGTCTATCCAAATATTTAAATTCGTGTTTGAAATATTAGAAAGTGAGGCATACCACAGACTCTAAAAAAAAAATTCCCCTCCATTTTACTGTACAGAATTAACAAATAAAAAAAAAAATGCATTTACATTTCATTTTTTAAGGTATAAATTAACAGCACTCTACCCACAAAATTACTGTTTTTCTTATGTGTAAGTGATGGGTCCGTAACTCAAATAAATGGTATGATATATATATATTTATTTATTTATTTATTTATTTTTTAAAGAAAAAAAAATTATACCGGAGGGGTAAACCATTGGTAGAATTTTACAAAATTGTTGCTAACAAGATCTTATTGTCATGTAGTTTGATTTATTTTAACAGCTGTTTAATTAACTAAAATAACAGTCCTTATTTTTACCTACTCTCGATGCTTGTTTGGTTTCCATTATTGTCTCTGATGGGGGAGCAGAAAGTCTTGCAAGGTTGGCGTATTTTGTATTTGTTAAAAGCATATCTACTTTAATTAGTATTATCATGATTTTCCAATTAAAATGTTGGTAAATGTTACCAAAGGTTAATTTTGGCTAATTTAGCTAATAATTATATAATATTCACTCACAATTAAAAGTATAGCCTAGCTGGCAAAATTCCATACAAAAATAGCACAATCGACTTCAAACAAATATTAAAACCTATATATTTATTTTAATGTAAATGTTTGATGGGTAATTCATTTTTATCCCTGTGCCGAAGAAGAATAAATTGGACAGGGTTTACTATTGCATTGGCACTGTTTCAAGATCAAGCTCTTGGTTATGACCAGGTCATGAAATGAAAAGTGAAGCTCAAATATAATAGTTAACACAAATCCTAACTCTAACTTTAACACTAGTCTTTATATTAAATGTTTACACTGGTTTGTTTGCAGCATTTTTTGCTAATTTTTTTGATTAGCTATCGTAGAGGGTCAGGTGGAAAGGTGAAGCTCTCATATCCACTTTGTGCTAGGGCACAAAGCAGTGGAGAAGAGCTGCCCTAATGACAGCCAGGAGGGTGCAACCCAGAGGCTCTAAAAAAATATTGATTCTTTTTTTATTTTATATATATATATTTTATAAATTGAGAAAGAGGGGACAAGAGGTACTTTAGGGGTGGACTCTTTAATAATGGATCCTTAATAAAAATAAAAACTAACCATATATATTGTTTATCCATCTAGGCGTATACTTGACTTCTCAGCATAGTGACATTATGACATTGTGCAGGACCACTGCTTAGCAGTAAGATGGAGATTAGTTAAATCCATACCCACACAGTGAGCTGTGTCACAATACCAGTGCCTAGCGGCACTGTACTACCACGTAAGTGATGTCTCTTTTGTTCTCTGATACACAACCACTCATCCTTAACTTCCTGGTGCCTCATTATGACATCATATATAAAATGAAAACCTCCCATTGGTCTCTTTTTATTATGTTAGAGTTTGTTGCCTTTGTTAATGATGTGTACACACTTGTGACATCATGGCTCTCTGTAACCAATCACAACCCAGTACAGGGTATATATACTTCCTGGTTGTCCTTGTTTCCTTGCCATGTCAGGGTTTCTGTTTACCCGAGAGTGCGTTAAATATGACTTATTATTCCATTTTCTGACTTTGGCTTTTGACCATTTTTGATACCAGTAAGCCTGACCTTGGCTTGAGTCTTGTTTCTGTGTACCTCTGTAATCCCTGACAATGGCTTGTTAACATTTATTCTGTGTTTGCTTGCAGACTTTCTGATTATAATCACAGTGCTAGTTGGGTCTCTCTAAGTACCAGAATGCTTACCTTCCTTGCATATAACTAGGTTTGTGTGTTAGGGTCAGGCTAATACTGACAGGGTGATTCTGAGTTAGATTACTAACATCTAGCTGTGAGACAGACCCCTAGACAAAGAACTGGAGCGTCTTGTCATGCCACCTTTATAATATGATAGTCATTTAGCACTGAGACAAAATGCAACTCAATACATTAAATTAACCATTTTATTTACACATCCATATAAAATTTAGGTTAATGTTCCCAAGTTATAGAAATATTTTTTTTTTCCAACTCTCCTCTTGACCTAAATTTTGCATATAGGTAATTTCAGGAAATAAAACATAGTATACATTTTGTGTTTTCGTTCATCCTGGAGTTACAATATTACAAGATTTTCCACCAGGGGACACTATACATCTCCTTTATGACAGAAGAAGGTGTTCCGTGTGTGTGTAGAAGGTGGGGGTAGGAGTATCGTTTAACCTCTGTGAGCAATGACTCATCCGGAAGCTTCTCTGCTTTTCCCAATTTGAGAATGACATACTCCTTCCATTCCCGGGTGAATCAATAGTGATGCAATTAACCCTTCCCCCATTGCGTTTGTCTGTCTCACTGCTCAGTATATAATCTTGTATATATAGTCACGCAATGCGGAGCCTAGAATTCTGCTGTAAAAAATGTTGCAAGATGTAATTACTATGGTACAGCTGGAAACATGAATTTATTATTCCCAAACATTCTTGTATACCGTGTAGTCAATAATTGGAAGATAGTCAATAATTGAAAAGAGGTGTCATAATTTTTTATCTCAATGGGTTAAGTCTGAGCAGATTTCATGCTCTGTCTTAAATATTACACAAGGTTTGCAGAACTCTAGTGGTTTTGATGCAGAGATACTATCCCTTTTCCCGTACATTGCAAAATATTGCAGTTCCTGAGAAACAACAATGTTTACATTTAGCTGAGAACAGACCTCTTGTGGCTGTCAGACAGTCGTCACGAGAATTGCTTTCCCCTTACATCCTTTAAATTGTGAACTAATTCATATTTGGTATCTTAATGTATGATGACGCTGAAAGCGGCTAATGCTTCCTGTACTCAAGTATTGGTTTGAAAAATACAACATGAATATGAGGTCAAAACAAAACATCAAATGGACTTTAACAGTTACTACAAGCACAATGACTACTGCAGTGTTTTTCTAAAGTGGTCATGGTATTTTGAGTCTGGTTGTACACAGTAAGAAGTGTGAAAGCAAGCGTTCCAGGCTACTAATGTGAATTTTGTGAATAGAATGTGTTAATTGTCAGCATGCAAATTAATGGATGTCCAATGGCTTTACCCCCCTACTTATTGCCCTTAGTCCTATCTCACCCCTGCCTCCTTGACATCCAGCATGCTTTCGTGAGAGGTTATGATGCCACAGAAGGAAGACCAGGCCACATTGAGAACTTGGATACCCCATGGGATCGCAGGTGAATTCACTCTCTCTCCTCTCTCTCTTTATCCTGTATCTGGGTGCCTCCATCTTAGCTCCCTGTCAATCATTATTACAAGCTCTGTCCTTTGCATCTGGCAGTCAGCAAAGATAAAACATAAAAAAGAGAATACAAGGGAATATTTTGCTCTTTTTTTTCTTCATTTGCAAATTTTGCCCTGCAGCTGTCTTGTCCGAACTGGATTATAATATAATTTTCTGAATCTGTATTATAAATGTCAAAGAAAATGGAGCATCCCATGAAAGACAATGTGATCACAAGCTAATGGCTATTTTCAATGTTTTATGCAAGAGTGTAAGTTTCAGAGAAGTGGAAGTTCCTGTTTAACACTTTAGGACCTTTCAAAGAGTGGATACAACTGAATATTATTCTTAAAAGAGGGAGATTGTAAATGTGTGCATATGTGTAAGCGTGTTAATATACGTGATCACTAATGGCGAGATTTAGGTCAAGCCATGTTTATAGTGAAGATATCACACAAGTCGTATGACATTGATACATAATTTAGAAGACAGTGAACGCTTGCTTTCTGTCTTGCGTGACTTAACAAACGATTCTTGAGCACACAGGAATATATACTGCATGTGTGTGCGAGGGAGAGAGAGTTGTGTCATATTGGAAATGAATTCCTTTGACAAGTTCTGCATCATAAACTCTGGGAACAAAGCTCTGAGTGGTTTTGGATGAGTCCAGAGCCCCAGAATCCCAAGATGAAAGGAATCTCTCATGCAAACCCACATTCCCACACACACTATCACCCAGTGTTACATGCACACATTAAAACTTCAGAAAATCAACACAAATCGACATACACTCAGTGTTATTCACTAACTTGTACCAAAATGTAGCAGATTAAGTCCTTGATTTAAACGTTTTCCTAAATGATTCAGTACTGTTAGAGAAACTTTCCAAATGACTTATCTACAGAAATCCCCATGGAATTTAATGGTGACTTCTGGAGATAAATTATTTAGAATGTTTTTTTTCTAACAATACTGAGTCATTTGGGAAGCTTATTCAAAATTGTATTATCTAAATGTGACCTGCAAAACTGTGACTGATTTGGAAAACAAGGAAAAAGACAATGAGTTGGAAAAATGACTTGGCTATTAGCCTCAGTTTTGTGATTCTGATTTTAGGGACTAAATTTAATAAGCTTTCCAAATTGTTAATTACTGTTAGCAAAAACTTTACAAATGATTTATCTACAGACGTCCCCATTAAAGGACCACTATAGGCACCCAGACCACTTCAGCGTAATGAAGTGGTCTGGGTGCAGGTCCACCTAGGATTAACCCTTTCTGCTGTAAACATAGCAGTTTCAGAGAAACGGCTATGTTTATAATGGGGTTAATCCAGCCTCTAGTGGCTGTCTCATTGACAGCCGCTAGAGGCGCTTCCGCACTTCTCACTGTGATTGATAATGCTTTCCTATGGACTGGCTGAATGCGCACGGCTCGTGCCGCGCATGCGCATTCAGCCGAGGAGGAGGAGAGTCCCCCGCCCGGCGCTGGAGAAAGAGGTAAGTTTAACCCCTTCCATCCTCTGGAGCCCGGTGGGAGGGGGCCCTGAGGGTGGGGGCACCCTCAGGGCACTATAGTGCCAGGAAAACTAGTATGTTTTCCTGGCACTATAGTGGTCCTTTAAAGGGACACTATAGTGTCAGGAATGCAAATATGTATTCCTAACACTGTAGTCTTAAACTGACTTTTTAACTATCCAGACCCCCTCAGCTCACGTTAAAAGGTTTTAAACTTACCTTTCTACCCATGTCGTGCTAGTCTTGCCCCTCATCGTCCGTCCTCCTTGCCTGAGATCATAAATTGGATGATCTCAGCCAAATCAAATCCTTTTTCCCAATTAATCTTTATGGGAGACCATAGATGCCAGTGCTGCACACTGTTTAACACTGAGATAGGAAGCACATCCAGTGGCCTTTTGAGTGACTGCTTGGTGTTACCTCTAGTGGCCGTTTGGTGTTACCAGGCAGCAATGTAAACACTACATTTTCTCTTAAAAGGCAGTGCTTACATTGAAAAGCCTGTGGGGACTGACTATACACAACAGTGGTTCCGGTGACCATAGTGTCCCTTTAAAGTAAAGGGAATTTTTGTAGATAGATCATTTGTAACGTTTTTCAAACAGAATTGATCATATGGAAAGCTTATTAAATCTAGGCCTAAATCTGCTTAAATTTATAGTTTAATTTAGTGATTGTCTCAGGGCATACACACTCTCGAACATTAGAAGAAAAAGGCACACACATTGGCACATAAGAAGATACAACTTGTGGGATGTATGTATGATCACTGACAAAAAACAGCTGGCTGCCTTAATTCAGAGTGTTAGCCTGATATTAACACAGGCACGAAAAAAAAAGGGTAGGGGAGAGGAGATCCATAGATGATCCTAAACCCCTTCATTCAGGGTATTATGTCTGCATTTAAAAAATGACCTAGTAATATAACTCATAATACAATATTTTATAGTGAATACATATAGGCTTTAAAACTAGTGTAATCAAATTTAATCTTCTCAATTTATAAAAGTTTATTACATTACATTAAATGTTATGATATCTTTTAAATTATAAATAGTTATTTTTTTGAGAACATTTCACTTTTTTTATTTGGCTGAGCAGCCATCTTGGGTCAGACACTGGAATTATCTGATCAACTGCTAATCAGCCTAAAATGTCTGCAGCTGTGATTGCTGCATGTGAAACCTCAACAGCAGGAAAGTTGAAATTAGTTGGTCAGATAACAGTAAAGTTTGACCCAGTAGTTAATTAATAACTAGAGTTTCCCGTCCATATATTTTGTGCGATGTTACTTTATTGTTTTACATTGTAACTTCCCTCTTTCTGGCACTACTAACAACTCTTTTTATATTATTTCATCACTTTCACGCTTTCTTTTGCAATCACTTATTCACATATAGGCACCCTTTTCAGTCTCTTACTGTGTCACTGCGCACACATTTTAGTTTGTCACACCCTTTTGCTTACACCTCTTTATTCTCACCCCTGTTATTTATACTCCATCACCACATAACTCGTACATAGTTATTCCCTGTCAATATTATTCAGCAGTCCTCTCATGGTGAATTCTGGCATTGGCGCAGAAGTCAGCTTATTGGCTGGCAGGAACTGGTCTGTAGGGACAGACCTTGCAATACATAATTACCAAAAGCAGAAGTGTCAAACATGCAGCCCATAGACTGAATTGGGCTTTTCAAAGGGACACTATGGGCACCCAGACGACTTCATCTCATTGAAGTGGTCTGGGTGCAGTGACCCAATTTCTTTAACCCTGCAAGTGAAAATATTGCACGTTAAAGACAACCTCTAGTGTCTGTCTTCCAGACAGCCACTAGAGGCGCTTATTTAATTCTTATGGAGTTTAACTCTGTGAAACAATGAGGACGTCCACCATCTTCAAAATCCCCATATGAAAACATTGATTCCATGCTTTCATATGGGAAAGAACTAATGTGTGGACGATGCTCGTTATGCATGCGCAGTAGGTCCACCATCAATGTGACATAAAGAGGAGACAGGGCAAAGGGCAAGGGACCTCAGCACTGAAATTAGGGTGAATTAACCCTTTACACACTCAGGGGGTCACCTAATAAGTTAAAGACGTGAACTTACTATACCGTTAGGAGTACAGTTTTGTATTCCAATGCTATAGTATTCCTATAAGGTTACATTTCTGTTTCTAAAGGGGAACATGGATGTCAAACTCGCGGCCCGGCAAAGATATTCATTGCTTCGGTCACCTGGAGGCAGCAGAGATGAAATAAAACAGGCGGAGATGAATTGAAGCAGGCGGAGGTGGTCCAGAGGCTGACAGGCGGTCCAGAAGCAAATGGAGGCAGACGGAGGCGGTCCAGGAGAGAATGGAGGCAGGCAGAGGTGATTCAGGCGAGAATAGAAGTAGGCAGAAGCAGTCCAAGAGATAATGGAGGCGGGCGGAAGCGATCGAGGAGAGAATGGAGCCGTGCGGAGGTGCACAGATGTGCGCAACGTCATGTCCTGATGTGATGTCTACAGGCTGCGCCTTCAAGGAGTTTGGCTGTGTCACATGCTGCGAATGGCGCTAGTGGGGATATAGACGCACAACACCAGATACACAAGGTGAGTAAAGTATGAGTCTGGATGCTAATATTGTTTATTTTTTTTATTTGTTTTTTTATTTTAACCCCTTAAGGACACAGCTTCAGAAGCTTGACTTACGCTTAATGACACAAGCAATTTTTGCATTTTCTTGCTGTTTGCGTTCAACTGCAATTTGCATCTCTCTCATTTATTGCACCGACACATATTATATACTGTTTTTTAAAGGACAGAAAGGGCTTTAATTTGATATAACATATATATATATAAATGCTTACTTATTATAAAAAAAATACAGAAAAATGCAAAAAAAATGAAAAATATTGTTTTTTTTTACAGTTTTTGCAATAATAATGTGTGCATAATTAGTGCAGGTTAAGGAAAGTAATTAAAAATAAATTTATTTATTTGTTCTGATTTACAGAATATATAATGTGTCTGGGATTTTAAGTTTTTTTTGGTAGTTACAGGTCACAAAGCACAAGGAGTAAAATAAACTTTTAATGTGGAGCGATTTTAGAATTTGGTATGTTTGTCTTGTAAGCTTAATAGCCATAAAAGAAAACAAAATTGCCACACAAAAGTATATATTTATATAAAGTAGACATCACGGGCTATTTACCTAAGGTTGTTTTGACACTTTCTACGTAGCCATTTCACCGCCAACCTCTGCTAAATATTGGAGTAAAATTGTGTTCTTTTTGGTTTTTAGCACACAAACTTATAACAGAGAAATTCTCGTGTATATTTTGTAAAGTTGGTGTGTGCTATTCCTGTACAAAGTTTTATTTTGTGTTCAGTTACATCTGCTGAGTAAAATGACACCCCCATTGTATGTCTTTTGCACTATTTCGTGAAGTTACAGTGCCATACAGGATACCTGTCCTTTTCAGTATTCACAGTAGAATTTTGAGAGATGGATTTAATGAGCCTTAGCTTCCATTTTGGGGTATTATAACAGTTTGACTGTTCAAAAAACCCCCACAAAGGCCTACCATTTGTAAAAGTAGACACTCCAGGGTATCTTATAAGGTGCATATTGTGCCTTAACATGCCCCCATTTTTTCACCAATATATGCCAAAGTATGTGGTAAAAAATAATTTTGTGCATTTTTTACATACGGATTGCATTTTTGCTGGGCGTTTTGTATATTTCATATGTGCCACTAAGTTCAAACCCCCCAAATTATGCTCAGCTAAGTCTTCTGAGTAAAATGACACCCCATATGAATGTCTTTGGCACTATTTCGTGAAGCTACAGTGCCATATAGGAGACCTGTCCTTTACAGTATTCACAGTAGAATTTTGAGAGATGGATTTAATGAGCCTTAGCTTCCATTTGGGGTATTATAACAGTTTGACTGTTCAAAAAACCCCACAAAGGCCTACCATTTGTAAAAGTAGACACTCCAGGGTATCTCATAAGGTGCATATTGTGCCTTAACATGCCCCCATTTTTTCACCAATATATGCCAAAGTATGTGGTAAAAAATAATTTTGTGCATTTTTTACATACGGATTGCATTTTTGCTGGGCGTTTTGTATATTTCATATGTGCCACTAAGTTCAAAACCCCCAAATTATGCTCAGCTAAGTCTTCTGAGTAAAATGACACCCCATATGAATGTCTTTGGCACTATTTCGTGAAGCTACAGTGCCATATAGGAGACCTGTCCTTTACAGTATTCACAGTAGAATTTTGAGAGATGGATTTAATGAGCCTTAGCTTCCATTTGGGGTATTATAACAGTTTGACTGTTCAAAAAACCCCCACAAAGGCCTACCATTTGTAAAAGTAGACACTCCAGGGTATCTCATAAGGTGCATATTGTGCCTTAACATGCCCCCATTTTTTCACCAATATATGCCAAAGTATGTGGTAAAAAATAATTTTGTGCATTTTTTACATATGGATTGCATTTTTGCTGGGCGTTTTGTATATTTCATATGTGCCACTAAGTTCAAACCCCCCAAATTATGCTCAGCTAAGTCTTCTGAGTAAAATGACACCCCATATGAATGTCTTTGGCACTATTTCGTGAAGCTACAGTGCCATATAGGAGACCTGTCCTTTACAGTATTCACAGTAGAATTTTGAGAGATGGATTTAATGAGCCTTAGCTTCCATTTGGGGTATTATAACAGTTTGACTGTTCAAAAAAAAACCACAAAGGCCTACCATTTGTAAAAGTAGACACTCCAGGGTATCTCATAAGGTGCATATTGTGCCTTAACATGCCCCCATTTTTTCACCAATATATGCCAAAGTATGTGGTAAAAAATAATTTTGTGCATTTTTTACATACGGATTGCATTTTTGCTGGGCGTTTTGTATATTTCATATGTGCCACTAAGTTCAAACCCCCAAATTATGCTCAGCTAAGTCTTCTGAGTAAAATGACACCCCATATGAATGTCTTTGGCACTATTTCGTGAAGCTACAGTGCCATATAGGAGACCAAGCCATATCCGTTTTTACCAAACTTTTAATTTTGACGCTGGGCCTATGTGCAATTTCCAAGCATCTTCGCAGGTTTTAAATTCAAACTACCCCACAAAGGCCTACCATTTCTTAAAGTAGACACCCCAGGGTGTTTCAAAAGGTATAGTTTGAACCTTAGCGTGGGATCATTTTTCCGCTAGCTTGTACCAGATGTAGTGGTAATAAGCGTTTTTTCTGCCTTTTTGACATACAAAGTGAGTTTGCACAGTATATTTTGCAAACCTTATGTGTGCTACGACTGTATAATACTTCATATGTTGCTCAGCTATGTCGGCTGAGTACAGCAATACCCCCGTATGTACCTTTGCCAGGTATGTGTGGACATCGGAGGGGCACATTTGGGACACAGCCATTCCAGTTTTTTTCAAACTTTGAATTTTTATGCTGTGCCTATGTCCCATTTTAGAGTATTTTACCAGGCTATATAATCCAAATTCCCCATAAAGCCATACCATTTCTTAAAGAAGACATCCCAGGGTATTTCAAAAGGCATATTTTGAACCTTAGCGTGGGATCATTTTTCCGCTAGCTTGTACCAAGTGTAGTGGTAATAAGCATTTTTTCTGCCTTTTTGACATACAAAGTGAGTTTGCGCAGCATATTTTGCAAACCTTATGTGTGCTATGACTGTATAATACTTCATATGTTGCTCAGCTATGTCGGCTGAGTACAGCAATACCCCCGTATGTACCTTTGCCAGATATATGTGGATGTTGAAGGGGCGCATTTGAGACGCAGCCATTCAGTTTTTTTCTAACTTTGAAGTTTTACGCTGTGTCCATGTTCCAATTTGGAGTAGTTTAGACGGTTGGTTATTGAAACTTCCCCACAAACACATACTATTTATTAAAGAATACACCCTGGGGTAATTCAAAAGGCATATTTTGAACCTTGGCGTGGGATAATTTTTTCTCTAGTTTGTTCCAGGTGTAGTGGTAATGAGCGTTTTTAAAATGTATTTTTTTACTTTTTATAACTTTTTTACTTTTAAAAACTAGTTTTTAAACTTTTGTTTTGCTTATAAATTTTTTTTAAACTTTCCTAAACTTTCTTAAAACTTTTTTACAGATTTAACATTTTTCTAAGCTTTTTTTTTTACCGTTAACCCCTAACTAGCAGTACGCAGCAGTAACAGTAAATTCCCCATTTTCCCATAACTCCCACCCACCCCAGCTAGCAAAATATATAGTTATAAAATATTTAAATTAATTAATTAAATAAATTGAACCCCTGAGGGTTAAAAAATAAATAAAAAGTTAATCCTCAGGGGTTAAAAAAAATTAGATCACAGTATAATACTGTGATCTCTATTTGATCGCTGTAGGCAGTGATCGACTGGCAGGGAAGGGGTTAATTTTTATTTGGACTAGGTAAAGTGTGTTTTTTTTACTTAAATGTTATTAAAACATTTTTTTAAGCTTAATTTTTAACTTTTTTAAGTTTCTTTTAAAACTTTTTTTAACGTTAACCCCTAGTTAGCCTAACGCCAAATCCCCCAATTCCCCACTAACTTCCACCTACCCCAGCTAGCTAAATATATAATTAAAAAATAGTTTAATTAATTAATTTAATTAATTTAACCCCTGAGGGTTAAAAAAAAAATAATTAACCCTCAGGGGTTAAAAAAAAAAATCAGATCATAGTAAAATGTAATCCCTGCCAATTGATCACTGTAGTCAGTGATCAATTGGCAGGGAAGGGGTTAATTTTTTATTAAAATGGGTAAGGGGGGACTTTAAATAAACTTTATTTTTTTTTACAGCAGGGGGCAGGATCAGCACTGATCCGGCTCCCTGCACTTCACACAGAACCCGGAAGTGCAGGGAGCCGGTAGGTAAGTATAGAGAGCACATGTGCTCGCTCAGACTTGCGGTCAGAGCGAGCACATGTGCTGGGCAGACTGACCGGGTGCTCCCGGTATGCCTCTAATGCAGAGACATACCGGGAGCACCATTAAACCCGCGATCGCCGCGATAGCGGCGATCCGGGGTTAATTTTACCGCGTGACGGACGAGGTCCGTCACCCGTCGTTAAGGGTCTCCCCTCTGTGACGGACCTCGTCCGTCACCCGTCCTGAAGGGGTTAAACAGGGAATGGAGTTTTGCACAGGGGGTTAGGGTTTTGTAGGGTTTTGTACAGGGGGGTTAGGGTTTTGTACAGGGTTTTGTACAGGGGGTGGGGTTTGTACAGGGGTTAGGGTTTTGTACAGGGGGTGGGGGTTTTGTACAGGGGGTTGGAGTTTTTACAGGGGTGGGGGTTTTGTACAGGGGTTAGGGTTTGTACAGGGGGTGGGGTTTTTGTACAGGGGTTCTGAGTTTTGTACAGGGGGTTAGGGTTTTGTACAGGGGGTGGGGTTTTGTACAGGGGGTTAGGGTTTTGTACAGGGGGTGGGGTTTTGTACAGGGGGTTAGGGTTTTGTACAGGGGGGCTGGGGTTTTGTACTGGAAGCAGTCTTAAACCTGCAATGTAAACATTACAGTTTCTCATGTTTGCAGCTGCAAGGCTAAAATGACAAGGACATTGTACTCAGAACTCTTCATTGAGATGATTTGGTTTGGTTGCCTATAGTGTCCCTTTAAGGTAGTTGTATGTTCCTTTTATGGTTATTTATCTATACACTTTGATATAGTAAAGATAATTCAACACATTTCATTTTGCATTTACCCCTTCACTATCGAGCACTTTTTGATTAAAAATATATTAGTGTAATATTTAGTTGAAGTAAGGGATGTATAGTTAGCATATATATGTTTAGATTGCTTTGCAGACCAACTTTTAATTACGTACTTTTACCAAAAAAGAAAAATGTCACTTGTTCTTTTAACCCCTTAATGACCGCGGACGTACAGGGTACGTCAGACAAAAAATGACTGCTGGTGTACCCTGTACGTCCAAGGCACATTTGAGCACTGGAAGCAATCATGATCACTTCCAACCGCTCTAAGGGTATTGCAGCGATGCCTCGATGTCGAGGCATCCTGCAATACCCCCCCCTCACTGCCGGGCCGCCAGGTGATCGCTGCCCTGGAGCGATCACTTCTGGATTGCTCCATGTGGCAGTGAGGCAGAGTATTGGAAGTCATCAGGCAGGCTTCCGAAGCTCTGCCTGCGTGCTGAGTGCCTCGAGGGGTCGAGGCACTCAGTGAAGATAAAATAATTTTTAACAAATTTTAAAATTAATTTTTACATGTAAAAAAATTAAATATATGTATGCTGGTGAAAAAAAGTTAAAAAAAAGTATTAAAATAAAAAAATAAAGTTAATGAATTAAAAATCTATGTATATCTATGTATATAGAAATAAATAAAAATAATACAAAATATACATATTTCCATATACATCATTACAGAAATAATTTCATAAATATACACATAGACTTCAAATATATAAATTCTACGTGCATATTTATGTAATATTTTTACATAATTAATTGATTGCAGTTTGGGTGACCTGCCTTACAACCCAGGCCGAAAGTCCAGAGAATTTAATTTGCTAGCACCTGTAACTTTCCAAGACACTCTAAAACCTGTACATGGCGGCTACTGTTTTACTTGGTAGACTTTGCTGAACACAAATATTAGTGTTTCAAAACAGTAATACATATCACAGTGATAATATTGTCAGGGAAAGTGAAGTTTTTTGCATTTTTCACACACAAATGGCACTTTCACGGATTATATCATTGTTTTGAACCAGTTTTGAAAAACTAATATTTGTGTACAGCGAACTCTCCCGAGTATAACAGTACCATCTATGTACAGGTTCTATAGAGTTTTTGAAAGTTACAGGGTCAACTATAAGGCTTGATTTTCCGTTTTTTCAGTCTGTTGTTCAGTCTTTTTTAGTAGACACTTAGTCATAAACACTGGCCAAAGTTAGCGTTCATAATAGTTTTTTGCATTTTTAACACACAAACAAATATAAATGCTAACTTTGGACAGTGTTTGTGACTAAGAGGCTACTAAAAAAGACTGGACATACCCCAAATTGAATACCCTGGGTTGTCTACTTTAAAAAAATATGTACATGTGAGGTGTGATTCAGAGATTTATGACAGATAACAGTGTTACAATATCATTATTGATAAATTGTAAAAATATATATTTTGAAACATGTCCTACATGTACTTATAGCCCTATAACTTTCCAAAAAAAGCTAAGAACATGTTAACATTGGGTATTTCTAAACTCAGGACAAAATTTAGAAACTATTTAGCACCGGTGTTTTTTGTCGGTTGTAGATGTGTAAGTTCAAAAAAGTGTTTTTTTACATGTGCTCATCATATTTTATAAAAACATTTTATACTAAATTATATCATGTGATGAAAATAATGGTACCTTTAGAAAGACCATTTAATGGTGAGAAAAACAGTTTATAATATATATGGATACAGTAAATGAGTAAGAAGAAAATTACAGCTAAACATAAACACCGCAAATGTAAAAACAGCTCTGGTCCAAAACGGTAAGAAAATTGAAAAGCGGTCTGGTCACTAAGGGGTTAAAAAGATATTTTGAATATGAAAAACTTTAGACAGTATACAGTATCCTTCATCTTGTAAATTTCACACAGGGTTTGAGATGTTAAAAAAATTAAATTTTCTCACACATAGTGTAAAAATGTGACAAACAGATAAGAAAAAATGCTCACATAGAAACATAGAAACATAGAAACATAGAATGTGACGGCAGATAAGAACCATTCGGCCCATCTAGTATGCCCAATTTTCTAAATACTTTCATTAGTCCCTAGTCTTATCTTATAGTTAGGATAGCCTTATGCCTATCCCACGCATGCTTAAACTCCTTTACTGTGTTAACCTCTACCACTTCAGCTGGAAGGCTATTCCATGCATCCACTACCCTCTCAGTAAAGTAATACTTCCTGATATTATTTTTAAACCTTTGTCCCTCTAATTTAAGACTATGTCCTCTTGTTGTGGTAGTTTTTCTTCTTTTAAATATAGTCTCCTCCTTTACTGTGTTGATTCCCTTTATATATTTAAATGTTTCTATCATATCCCCCCTATCTCTTCTTTCCTCCAAGCTATACATGTTAAGATCCATAGAAAACATACCTTGTTGATAGGTATTTGCAAGGACCCTGAAGGCATTATTAGAAGTTTAACTTACTAAAAATGTCAGAAGAATGTAAAAAAGAATGTCAGCATTTTAGCATAATTTCCACATACAGTAAATGCAGATAATTCACATATTTCTAAAATAAAGGTATTTAAAACTGCTATGGCAATCTTTATCACTCTGTGGACTGCTAATGCAATGCTAGCATTGAAATGTATGAATTATATGACGCACTGAAACATCCTGCACTGTTTGAAAGCAGGGGATTAATTTCCATTTACAGGTATTATATCAGTGATGTGTGGTTTCCATGAGAGATATTTGTTTTTTACAGCCTGAGAGTCATAATTAGAATATACATGAGGGTGAGTGAGGCTTTGTGGACTAGATGTCATACTACAAAATACATGAAAATAAAAACATTTATACTTTATTTCGGTATTGAAGGGGTTCAACTATTTATCGTTTCATTTTATAGTATCATTTTAAAATAGACTGTTATGAGCCATCAAATCCCAGAAATACAAAATTTTCCCAACTATTTCCACAAGGATATATAATATAAGGTGGACTTGAAGGTACCATATATTGGGGAACCGGTTTCAGAGAGAACAGCGGTTTGTATTAAATGATTAAACAAATCATTTTTGGTAACCAGATATATATATATATTTTTTAAAGTATTCCAAAATTTAAACTTTTGTTACAAAATATGGGGCCATGTCAGCCCAGTGCATGAATGAACACTGCGATGTACCGCAGATTTGTCTGGCAAACAACTACACTAACAGCGCACAGCCCTCTCAAGCCCATTTCATTCCACTGCCACTCTTTCCAAGTAATTTTTATCTACATGTCTTTAATCTATTTTCAGTTAATATATCTACTTATTTGATATATCCCCTCACTGTCTGTCCTCTCTCAAAGTTCAGTATTTCCCTGCCTTTTCATTCCCTATCTGTGAATCCTCTCAGTCACACTTGCATTTTAACCTCTCGTGTCTTTTCCTTCGCGATGAGCAAAAACGGTGTCTGCTATTTCACTTGTAAAGTCAAGACAAGCGTGAGTAAGCCGGGAGTCATACACTAATCCTCTTCCCATATTGTATTTCCAGAAACAGGAGAAGCCTCTTACACAAGACAACTGGGAAGAAACAAAATTAACACCCTTACGTACAGCCTTCATCAATTCAGTTTCCTGAATAAGGAAATGAATACTTTGTTAGAGGTCCTGCAGATGTTTACTATATAAATGAGGCCTAAGGAGGAATGTTCGTCACTAATGTATAAAAGTATATTCAACAGGGGGACGGGGCATGACTGTAATGGCGCCTGGACACATTTTCAGCAAGCTCCTCGAGCAAATCTCAATTTACCCTAACTACCTGCATCAACAGCTATTAATCTGAGGCAACTCGAGCGGCTCAAGTACCCAGCACCGACTATCCGGCTCGGGGTTTCTTACAGCAGTCACCTGAAGCCCTCTAGACGCAGATCTACGAGTGTGGCCTGGTGTACGCCGGAGATGGGAGAGGCAGACAATCTCCCTACCCGGTGGGAGCTGGCTACCCTGCACACAGTACAAGCGCCCTGCTACCCCCCCTCTGGCCGGCAGGAGTCATCCCGGCCCGCACCCTGGGGACAGCACCACAAGCGGCACTCCCAAAATGGCGGTCGCTGCGTGCTCCACTGACCCACAGAGCATGATATCCAGGCTGGACAGCATCTTCGAGGCGTTCTGGAGGAAGCTGCAGAACAGACAACTAAAAGCTGCCACACGACTCCACAATACCTACCCACTGGAGAAAGCACCAAGACGCCAGCAAGCCGCCGCGTGGTAAAAAAACTCCCATAAGACGCGCCGCACATGAATAAGACCATGAAAATTGTGGCGGGAGGCGCACAAGCCTCCTCCGGGGTCAAGTATCTGGACCTCCAGGCGAAGGGAAGTGGTCGGGAACTCACACGAGGAACCGGAGAGGCTTATTACAGTCACGCTGACAGCAGTCCAGCGCCGAGCCTGGCCGATCCGCAGACTCTGGGGTGACTATGTCCTACCTACCGCAGGCATAGGTTAAATGGGACCAGGCTTCAACCTCACTCCCTAACACTGTTACCAATCAAATACCATGGACATCCTTCTTGTACATCCATCTCTGTACCGAGATTGACGGACTCATTCAGAAAGCTCGACCTCCTATGCCTAGGGTTGGCTACCTGGGAGTCCCTAGGGTGTTTCCAAGCTACCTTTCATGTCTGGCAATTCTTTTGTTCATACACTCAATCTTAGTAAATCAAACAGCTATGTATGCTTAGCTTAAACATTTGTGTATATCATCACTATATCATTTCTTGCCTACCTCATGTTTCTACCTTGCTATCGCAAAAAAAAAAATTGTGCAGCATCCCTTGACTACCCTTACCAATTGTTTATGATGATTTAATATGTTGAACAAGTCATTGTTTATGCCTGTAATCTACTCTTCACTCAAAAATAAAGAATTAAAAAAAAAAAAAAAGTATATTCAACAACTTCTTAAAGGGACGCATCACCTCATGGCCATTGAAAACAACAAGAGGCCATAATTAGTGAATACAAGATCTATTTGAAACCGTGATTCAAAGATGGGGCAGTAAAAACTCTAGAATGTAATTATATATAGTTATTATAGACATGCCTAATAAATATTAATATATTTTTTAAAGTTAACAGATGGTTATTGGGTGTCACGGTTTAGTAGCTAGAGCCCAATATGCAACAAGCTTTGGTTGTTCAAAACGAAGTACAGACAAGGATAAAGCAAAGGCAAAGACAAAGTCAGACAGGCAAAAGGGTCAGATCAGGCAGCGCAGGGTCATAAACGTAGAACAAGCCAGAGGTTGGATATCAGATAAGCAGACAGGAACAGGTAACAACTTGATAGGAGTCTGGAGCATAGGATACTGAGCAAAGATAGACGATCTGAGTAGGATTATATAGGAGAGGGGGTGGAGCACATTTCACAGGTGTCCTACCTATCTCCTGGGAACTCCTTCTGGAAAACACCACTTCACCTTTATGACTCTTCTGATCTTGCGCATGCGTGCCTAAAAAACCCGGTCAGAGTGGGGATTTGGCTGATGCGGTCTCTGTCGGTGCAGCGTGGAGAGAAGTGTAGGAGGTAAGTGTCTGGTTGGGCGGGGGTTCCATGGTCGATGCGGTCTCTAACCAATCTAACCAAATCACGCATTTTCTTCTAACCCTAGCCTGTAAATGTAATACCAATCCCAACCTACCGTTCTCAAACATACCTCTAGTCCTATGTCCTAACTCTCCAAAATAGTGCCTAGTAGCTCTCTCCTGCCTCTACATATAACTAAAGTTATATGCTTTTGAAGTTGTTAGGGGGGATTTTATGGGCTATTTAGACCCAGATTTCTACTGTTGGGGAACGGGGCTAGGGGATATTAGTGGGATCTTTTTTTATTTTACCTCAGAAAGCTGCTTCAAAAAGCAATTGTCTGTTGTAAAACAAAAATCAATAGGATAATGTTCCTCCAGGCTACTTAAGGGTGTTGTGCCCCCCGAGTAACTGTTGCCCCCCGAGTAACTGTCACAAGGGTTTCCTCGAGAACAGAGCGTTCCTGCATACTCCTCTATTACATTGAATGCCTGACTGTGTAGCATGTGCTTGTTTCCAGCTGTGCTTCCTTGAAATAATAGAGGGCAACAGTAGCACACTGTTCATTGGTAAAGAGGAGGGGACATAACAGAAAGAGAGGGATACGTCATGACATACCCCCAACATTCTCTTAGTGTAGGGGTCATCAGGTTTTCCTGTGGTCTTTAGCCCTAGGTGTTTCTGTAACCTAGCAATAACCCTGGTTATATATACTCAGGTATAGGATTGGCAGATCCACTACTTGGACACGTGACTTCTTTATGCTGATGGGCAACGTATGACGAATGTATGAAGGACATTGTATCCTTCCTGAAACATGTTTTCATGTTGCACCACAAATACACATTCCTATGCTCACATTTAACTAGCATGAACAAAAACATACTTTTTCTTTAAACAATAATTTTGCATGGTTTTAAATATAACAAACTGAAACCCAAGTATCTCATTGGTCCCATAACCTGCCATGCAAAGCAGTCCTTAACATGTCATAGAGTTCTATTATATGGATGTAATTCACCACACCTTGTCTTGCATCCGCTGTGTCTCGTCTGCCTCCAGTTCGCTTGTCTATGCATGCGGGGAACCAAACACGCCTTGGGTGAAACCTTTCTAAAATCTTCCTCACATGTGTCACGTGTCATGGATCAATGTTTTAGAATTCTAATATGTAAGCTCTCTGGGTTTATATCCCACTGTTCTACCCAATTAATAACCACTGCATTCACTGAGTGTTTATGTATTCATGGGAGTCAATGCATAAATAACAAGATGCTTGTGATTCTATGCACAATGCTACATCGGCTTATTTATCTTTAATTGTACCAACCGTACCATGGGCGTCCGCAGGGGGGATTTTTCAGCTTGTTCTGATATTTTTCGTGTGAAATTTAAAATGAACTTCAATACCAGCGTGTATGGAGAGAGACAGGGATAGGAAGCTGCATCTTATCCCTGCTTCTCTCTGCTGATTGAAACCGCAGGGGAGCAACACATACAGCCAGAGACAGCCTACAGATCAGGTAAGTGAGGGATGGGGGAGGGTTTGAGAGGGGGCAGCAGCCTATAGATTTTTTTTGGTGGGGTAGCAGCCTATAGATTAGGGGAGTGACGGGGGGCAGTCTATAGATTAGGGGAGTGGGGG